GTGATCCCTGAGTGCAGAACCTGGAGTAAGCCCTAAGAACTGCCAGGTGTGCCCCACTCCCCACCAGGAAAAAAAGTGAAATTCATTCTTTGAGTGAAGGTAAGCTGTTGGATAACACTGGGTTGTCCTTGCACCTTGTGCAGGGAGCTTAAGGCTTATTGATCCACACCAGTGCAACTGAGGCACACCCAATTCCATCAAGCACTAATAATCCTATATAGCTTTTCTTTTTCCTTTATGTCATTTGCATGATTCATTTAGCAATGTCCTTTTTGTATAGACACAAGAAGACAGTTGATGCTATGCTACGTAACATGGAAGTTAATTGACTCCAAAATAATATTTACTCTTGGGCATCTGTGTTCACTTGACTTAAGCCTCAGTTTCCCTTAGTTTCTAGCACTCTAAGAGCAGGGTCCTAACAATGGACTGGATGAACCCAGGTAAAGCTGTGAGCTACCCTGACATCAAAATGGGCCAGGCCAAGTGCCATAATACTTAACTATAAGTTTAAAACATGGTCACGGACAATCTCTGTCATGACCCAAAGACAAGGAACTGAATAAGGACCCTGCAGAGATTAGGAAGGACTAACCTAGCTTGAGAACTATGATCTGGAATATATAGTGAGATGTCCTCAGGAGGAACTAACCTTTAAGCTTAGTATATCTCTTATTGTGTTCATACAAAATGTCATTGCTAGAAATATCTTAAGAAGTAAATTTACTATGATTGTTTAAATGGATTACTAGCTGAGGAAAGGAGAAAGCAATACACCCTGGATGGAATCCCGCCCTTGAGTGGATCTCCTAGTAATCTGGAGTAATCTCCTCAAATGAGATTTCATCCTTGAGTTAATCTCCTGAAGGAGTGGCTTTACATCTCTTTGTTGTTATGATAATGTTCAACCCCACCTATGTGTACCCCAACCCTTCATGATTTCTATATAACTATGCTATAAGGGGTAAGAGGGAAAGAGATGCTGAAGACATTGGGGACCAGATATTGGGAACGAGAGAGTCAGGACGAGATGCTGACATTGAGATGTTATAGATGCTGAAGACTAGACGCTGAGGACTAGATGTTGAGTATGAGAAGGTTATGATGAGACCTTGAAGACGAGGAGGAGAACCGAGACTTTGGAGACTTTGGGACTAGAAGGCGAACCAGATGATGACAATGACTGGAAGTAGAGGACTATGAGACTACGTTGAGATGAAGAAGACATAACAAGGGAGAGGACTTTGAGGTCTATGAGGAGACTAGGATGATGGAACTCCGATGACCGGGATTATGACCAAAAATACGACTACAGCTGTGCCATAAAGGGAGATATCCGGGCTATGCCAGGGAGAAGAGAGAAATAAACCAACTAGCCACAAGTCTGGGGCCCGGTTCCTGTTTCTCTGTTACCCTAACCCTTTGCCTGTTATCCGCCACTGTGGATAGGCCTAGGGAGGCGGCTTTCACCACTGAACACTCAGTCCCGCGCGTGTGCCCATACACCATTTTTTATTTGGAAACTTACAGTAGGCAACAACAGTAAAGGCAGATTCTTTATTTCCTCAGGATACACTCTAATTACACAACAAGAAATGAATAAAACTTCCCTGTGATATGATACATTCACATGTCTTCTTGTTTCCTTTTAATAATTGAAATGGGAACTTTCAAGATCTCAAATTGATTTTGAAGAGATTATTTTATATTTTCAAGTAAAATAGTTTTATTTAGAAAACAGTAAGGAGAGAGCGAATACACGTCGCAGACTGTGTGGATGCTCTGAAGAGATAATTTTACAGGATCAAATATTTGGGGAAGCAATCATATGTGTTTAAAGGAATTTTTTGAAGATGAGATTGGTGAATCACAAACAATTGACTAGATCTAGCCCTTACCCTGCTTTTTTTTTCTATACCTGACACTGCTCAGAGTTTATTCCTCTGGCTCTGAGCTCAGGGGGTCACTCCTAGAGGGGCTCAGGGGACCATGTGGGGTGCTGCGGTGCTGAGAATTGAACTCAGGTTGGCCACATGCAAGGCAGGCGCCCTCCCTGCTGTTCTATCTCTCCAGCTACCTCCCCAGCCCATCCCTCCATCCACTTTTATTTGCTGTCCTTAACTAAGAATAGTTTTTAAATTTTTTTAATAAAAAGCAAATACCAAATTAAAAGTAATATTAAAAAATTATCTCAATTAAAATTTTCGTGTCTATAAATAGAGACCATATAGGACATCATGAAATTTTAGACCAAGTAAGACACCACATAGGACACAAACAGTACAATAAGACACCATAAAATTATCACAAATCACAAATCATCCTGTTAATCGTCGATTGCCTTGAGCAGGCCCCAGTAACGTCTCCTTCATCCTAGCCCTGAGATTACAATTCAAGGCTCTTTAGGAGAATGAGACCCATCATTGTTACTGGTATTTGGCATATTGGGTATGACACAGGGAGTTCGCCAGACTCTGCCGTGATAAAATAATAGTGTCCATAAATATTGGAAAACAGCTCAATAATTTGAGTTGACTTTATGTACTACTTTATGACTTTATGTATGCTACTGTGGCCTAACTGAACAACTGTGCCAAGTCAAATGACTTTATTATCAGGCACTTTCCAAAAAGTTATCTTTTATTATTATTATATTATTACTATTATTATTTGTAGGCAAGAAAATTTTTTATAGAACAAAACTTGCTTAGAAAGATGTGGGGAAGTACATGTTCAAGAGAGAATATTTTTCTCCAGAGTGGAAAAAAGCAAGCAAAGACACACAGAGACAAGCAGGCTCAATGTGTGTTCAAGGAAGTGCACAGGTTTGAAGAGAAGCCCTTTGAATCTTATTTTAAGAGCTTTGCTCTATATCAGACCTTCTCTGAGACCAACCAGACAGTCTTGCTGCCCACCACACTGCCAAATGGACCCAAGCGTCCCTGCAGCACGGACAGCGTCTGCACATGCTTCAGCCACTGCAAATGCAAAGACTGGAAATGCACCTCTGCCAAGAAAAGGTGCTGCTCCTGCTGCCCTCCGGACTGGACCAGTGCAGCCAGGGATGCGCCTTCAAAGGGACATCAAGCAAGTGCAACTACTACGTCTGGATTTGGGGAGGCGGAGTTGGGTCATCCTCCCAGGTGTAAATAGAGCCAGGTGCAGACCCGGCCCATCCCTGCGGGACCTCGGTCTGTAGGCCCCTGTTCCTGTTCTATGAAGTAGGGATGAAAGTAAAAGTTGTTGGCTTAAAAAACAAAAAAGAGTTTTTCCCTATTAAAAAAAACACTGAGATCTTCATAAGCTGAAGACTCTACACAGACATTGCCCCAATATATTATGTCAGAAAGATTCACAAATTTAGTAGAGGTGATACAGTTGCCATATCACAGAATAAAATAATAACATGACTTTTTCAATTTTAGGATGTGTCTCTTTTCTCATTATGTGAATATCGGAGAGTTACCAAGAGGATATGCTGTAGAGTCATTAATTTCTCAACTATTAGCTTTATGTGACGTGTTCATGTGATGATGATGTTGTTATTACTTACCTCACACAAAAATCTCAGGTTTCTTACAATAATAACAATGGTACTAACTTCATAAAGTTACAGGAACAAGCAGTGCTTATTTACAGGAACTCTTTAGTTCTGTACCAGTGCATAGAAATTGTTCAATAAAATTTTACTCTTATCTATTTTTGATGGGCTGGAGAGATAGCAAAGCGGGTAAGGTGTTTGCCTTGTACGTGGCCGACCCGGGTTCAGTTCCTCTGCCCCTCTTGGAGAGCCTCGCAAGCTACCGAGACTATCCTGCCTGCACGGCAAAGCCTGGCGAGCTACCTGTGACATCTTCAATATGCCAAAAACAGTAACAGCAAGTCTCACAATTTGTTGTGAGCCGTTACTGGTGCCCACTCGAGAAAAATCGATGAACAACAGGAGGACAGTGCTACAGTGCTATCTATTTTTTTTCCTTATTTAAAAATCATCTGCTAAGAAATTACATTAATTGGGACAAGAGAGACAATATAAGGTAGACAGTGCAAGGCATATGCCCAACCCAGTTGAGTCCTCGGTACCCCCAAAGGTTTACTGGGTACAGTGCTGGAGAACCCCAAGCAGATCCTAGTGTGGCCCTGGTATTCGCCACACAATGGGAGGATGGCAATGGTAGTTCCTCAAAGCAGTGGTTCCAAGTTTCCCTGTATCTGCAGCCCTTAGATTGTACTGCTTGTTCAATTGGTAGAGAATAGCTTGACTGGTCCCTGGATTCCCGAGTCCACTTAGGACGCACTGCCAAAAAAACCATGGTCATCAAGACTGTAATACAAACGATACAGATGTGTAAATAATGGAATAGAATTGAGACTCCAGATATAAACGTTCACATTTTTGTCAACTGATTTTTAACATAGATGCCAAAACAAGTCAGTAAGGAAAGAAGTAATTTCCACAAATAACGTTGCAACTACTGGATCTCCACAAACAACTGGGTGCTCCTAGGTAACAAAATATACAAATAGTGCTATCTATTTTTGATAAGTGTTTTTTTTGTGGTTCTGAGGATGAAACCTAGGAAGAACATGTGCAAAACAAGTGTGCTACTACAGATGAGAAATAGAATCTCTATAAGCTTCTTTCTTTCTTATTTATTTATTTATTTATTAAGTTTTCTTTTTTCTTTTCTTTTTTTTATCACATATAAAAGTTGATGGGAATCTCACCAGTATCCTTTTCCCATGTGTTTGCCATATTATTTTAAGGACAATCCCTGTTAATTTTAGCCTTGTTTCTCAACTATGGTCAAATGATTAGGGTTCATTGAACTTAGTCAAAGAAGACAATATTTCAGCATTCTTACACACTATAGTTGAATTCAACATTAAAAAGATAAATGCAAATACTCTCACATAAGTCGGATGTAGGAGGCTACCTTTAGCATGTAATGTAATGCTCACACTTCCAGTGAGTAAGACTGGGTGTGGGTGGGCTCTGTTTACCCGTAGGAGTAGCTCTCATCATCATATTCCAGCTCATCTTCTTCCCCCTCATCCAGCAATCCAAACCTAAATTTCCTGTAGACGGTGCCGTCTTGGCCCATATAGACAATATCATCATCCTCATCCTCATCGTAGTCTCGGTCCCTGTACTCTATCACCTGGTCCTCTTCGAAGTGTGTGCTCTGCAGATGGGCGCTCGTGGAGGAAGAGTAAGATCTGGTAGGCTCAGACAACTTCGCATAGCCAGCTTTCTCTGCTGCCTGAGCCCGAGCCCGGGACCTCCTCCAGACCAGCACAGCCGCTGGGAGGAGAAGCACCATCATGACAGAGGAGGTGATGAACAGGGCCGTCTTGAGATGCTCAGGCTTCTGCCCAAGTTCACTTTCACGAAGGATGCACTCATCTGTCGGAACACAGCCCCAGAGGGCAAGGGAGAGGGGAATGGAATAGGGAAAACTCATTTCAGAGGTTAAAAATCTTTGCAAGAACCTAAAATCCAAACATTCAGAGCTCAACTTCTGAAATTCAAGAGCAGCTTCTCTACAGACTTGCACTGCGTGTACCACTAGGTTTTGTTCGTGTGAGGACACCAACAAACGCTTCTAGGATGAAAGTGAGTTTGAGGTCCAAAGGACCCCTTTCTCTCATTGGTGTAACTTGCGACCCAGTTGCCTAATAGTTCATTTCTCAACTATTAGCTTTATGTGATGTGTTATGTGATGATGATGATGATGATGTTACTTACCCCACACAGAAATCTCAGGTTTCTTACAATAATAATAGAATAACTATTATTACTACTGTTCATCCTTTCTAACCAATTATCCTCTCTCCCTCAGGAGATAAGTATCCTCTTGGGCCATGCACCACTCACTTATTTGTATAAGACTGGGTTCTCTCCCTACTTACCTCTGAACCTGGTTCAGCATGATCATCCCACACTCAAGGGCAGGAGCAGATTATTTAGAGAGCCACTGATTCATCATTGTGTAAAGGTAAAGGTAAAGGCCCTCCCGTTGATCGTCGATTTGCTCGAGTGGGCCCAGTAACGTCTCCATTGGAGACTTTGTTGTTACTGTGTCTGGCATATCGAATACTCTCGGTAGCTTGCCGGGCTCTCCGAGAGGGGCGGAGGAATCGAACTCGGGTCGGCCATGTTGGCCGCTTGTAAGGCGAACGCCCTACCGCTGTGCTATCGCTCCAGCCCCATCATTGTGTATAGGCTTAGAATTTACTTAGCCTGTGGCTTGACCATTGAGGAAACTGAGATTTGTGGGGAGGAAGTCAATCATCACAGTGTCAGAAGCAAGAGCTTGTTTGTGAAATTATTAAAACCCAAACTCCATGGTATTGTCTTGGAGACATTCAGGCAAAATGCTTTAACAACTGTTTTCTTAGACCTTGGTGTTCTGTGACCCTAATCTGGCAGGAAGGGATGCACCATTATTAAATACTGACAGGTGGGTTGAGTAATAAGGAATTTCTTCAATAATAATTAAGATTTGGGATGTTGAAAGCTCTTCCCCCTATTATTCAGCAATTTTTGTTTTTCCTTCCATTAAATCATATATTTAATGAATAACAGAAATAATTTCTACATCCAACAATGAATTTTAGGGATCTTCCTCCAGAAATATATTTTTGTATTTTTTAATTGAGATGGAGCATTATAAAACTGTTCATGATTGTATTTCAGTCATGCAATGTTACAAGAGCCTCATCCCTCTATCAGTGTAATTTCCCAGTACCAGTGTTCCCAATTTCCCTCCCACCCCTTCAAGCCACCCCCAATCCCAGTCTGCCTCTATGGCAGGCACCTCTCTGCTCTCTCTCTCTCTCTCTCTTTCTCTTTTTATCTCTCATTTTAGGCATTATGCACCAACCTTTGTTTTGATGCTTAAGTAACCAAAACTGTCACAGAAGGAAGGACCAAACCACACCAACAACAATGCAGTCATGTGTCTTTTTAAAAAATTTAATCTGGTGAATTGATTTGGGCAAGTTATCTAGTTTTTTTCTTCTATTCTTTAATCCACCAAATGGGAGTTTAATGAGAGTATAAAAGAACTGGAGGCAGGACCAGGGAAACAACTATCATTCTATAGATTGGATGTCTGGGTTGAAATACATAGTAAGTTGACCACAAGTATTGCTTTCTTTTTCTTTCTTTCTTTCTTTCTTTTTTTTTTTTTTTTTTTTTTTTTTTTTGCTTTTTGGGTGACACCTGGCGATGCACAGGGGTTACTCCTGCCTCTGCACTATGGAATTACTCCTGGCGGTGCTCAGGGGGGACCATATGGGATTGCTGAAATCAATCCCGGGTCGGCCACATGCAAGGCAAACGCCCTACCCACTGTGCTACCTCTCAGCCCCCACCACAAGTATTTCTTGACCTGGGTCTAGCCTTGAGATTAATTCATGAGTTTTTTATTATAGGTACCTCATAGCCACACACAGACACACACACACACACCTGTCAATTATTTTAGAGACAATTGTTCTTGTTTATTAGATATTATCTAATTATATCAATTTATCACCATTATGTTTTTTTCGCTCTTTGCCTGTTTAATTTTACTGTATTTTTTTTGCTTTTTTTTCTGGTAATAATTTAACTATAACCTTTTATTTTCTATCTTTCATATGAGAATTTCATTCTCATGGGATTTTGTCCATATTGAACAGCTGATTTAACAGTTCTTCATAGGAATAGGATTACAGAAACTGTGTCCCCCAAAATGCATATACCTCTAATTTTCCCTAAAGTCCTTGATATAAGAAAGGTTATTGTATTGAACTGAAGTCGCGAGGATATTATGTAACCAGACCTGAAAGTGCAGGTGTATGCTTTTATTTTCGGGGTTTCAGGCACATTCAGCAGGATGGGCCATTTTACTTCTGACTCTACTCAGGGTTTGTTTCGGTGGTACTTAGAGGATCCTGCAATTTTGGGAAAACTGGGCCTCCTGCAAGGAAAGCAAGTGCTAGGACAATTGGGCTCTTTCTCTGATCCAAAAGTGGATGTGTATGAGGTTCTAGGGAAACCAGCTGTTCTTGACCTTGGAAGACTGGAAGACAGTAATTAGCTTCAGGGAAGATGATGCTTAAAATTTAACTGACAAGGTTGATATAGGACTGAAAAGAAATGGCTAGTCACAGCAATGGGTTCGAGGTTTTCTTGATCCATAAATAGACAGGCTACCATAAATATGTTTCTCTTTGGTGGTGATACATCTGAACTTGTAGGAAATAATTGGCTTCTGGACTAGAGTACACACACACACACACACACACACACACACACACACACACACGTGCGTGTGTCTGCATACGCATGCACAGACACACACGTACATTTTCCTTTTTAGAAGTAATAACTCCATTCATAATCTTCCTAAGTGTATGACCAAAGAAATCCAAGTACTAATTGGGTTAGAGTTGGAAATGAGAAATTTCTGGGAACCTGGAAGGACTATGACATCTGCAGTCCAAAAGACTCCTATCTGATTCTGAAGGTTGATGAGCCCTGGGCCATGCTAACCAAACCCTTTGAGCCTTAATCCCTCTTCTGTAAATGGGATTAACAATGTCTCCCTGGGAAATGAGAGAGTCCAAAGGAAAATGGCGTGCCACAGGCACTCTGTAGGCACTAAGATGGTAGCCACGCTCACCCTGGAGCCTTCCATGCTCCCATCCCCACTGGCCTGCTCAGCTCTCCGAGGACAGGCCTTGCTTGACAGGCTGCTCTCCCAGGACTCACCCATGCTTTCCTGGCAGTCACAGCACTCCTGGGTATCTGTGGAGTCAGAAGTATTGCAGCAGTGCAGGCAGCGGTTCTCGTCCAGGTGCAGTAGCAGGTTGGCGGGGCACACGGTACAATTGTTGGCACCGGGCCCCTTGCATTCTATGCAGCTCTCGTGACATTTTTCACAGTTGAATTCCTCTTCCTGTGAAAAGCAACCAGGTGGCTTTTGAGTACATTGGGATTAAAAAATAGCCTGAAGTAGGACCGGCGTGATAGTTCAGTGTGTAGGGAGCTTGCTTTGGACGTAACTCCACACTTGGGTTTGATCCCTAGCATCCCACATGGTCCCTTGAGCCCACTAGGAGTGATCCCTAAACGCAGAGCCAGAGTAAATCCTCCTGGTATAGGCCCCGAACAAAAAGAAACAAAAATCCCCTGGAGTTTCCAATAGGAATTCTATCTTGACCCCAGAAAAAGGCAAACATGTGGGAAACAGTAGAAAGATGGTAAGTGCAGGATGAAAATAGAGCCAGCTGTGTATGTTTGGATGGACCCAGACCTGGGCCTTTACTCCTGGCATCTGCAAGTCATAGGAAAATAGGACTCTAGACTAGCTCAGGTTACAGACTGACAGATCAGTTCAGCTGCACCTGGTCAAAGACAAGTTTTGTCTCACCCATACTAAAATTGGCTGGAGCGATAGCACAGCGGGTAGGGCGTTCGCCTTACATGCGGCCAACATGGCCGACCCGAGTACGATTCCTCCGCCCCTCTCGGAGAGCCCGGCAAGCTACCGAGAGTATTCGATATGCCAGACACAGTAACAACAAAGTCTCCAATGGAGACGTTACTGGGCCCGCTCGAGCAAATCGACGATCAACGGGAGGGCCTTTACCTTACCTTATACTAAATTGACTTTCACCGTTTGTCGGAGTACAAGGAGCTTAGGTTTATCAGGTTGCACCCATCACAGTGCTCCCGAGTCACTCCCATTACTTTGTTTGTCTGTAACCACTTCTATGCTCTTTTCCCAACCAATTTGTAAGGTCTCATACTTCTTAGACACTGAAGCTGTGCTGTAAGTTAATATTGCCTTTCTCCTCTCCTTATGTCTTTTGAATAGTTTACTTTAATACAGTGACCTTTTTGTATAGATACAGGAAGACAATTAATATTATGCTTTGTAACTTAGGAGTTGATTGGCTTTGAATATTATTCACTCCTGGGCATCTGCTTTCTCAACTTAAGCCTCAGTTGCCCTCACTTCCTAGCACTCCAAGGGCAGGGTCCCGACGTGGGACTGGATGGAACCAGGGCAAGCCGGTAAATTATGTCTTACCCTGGCATCACGATGGGCCAGGCCAAGGTGCCACGATTCTTAACTATAGGTTAAGAGTTTGATCATAGGCAAATGCTGTTATGATCCAAAAGTAATGACGAGACTAGGACCCTGCTGCTAGGAATAGGAAAGATATCTGGCCTGAGCACTGCAGTCTGAGATCGAGATGGCCCTAGGAGAGCAATTCTATAAGCTCAAGGTATTTCTTACTGTGTCCATACAAAATGATTTATATTGTGTATGCTTATATGTTGGTCGGACAAGGAGAGGAGAAACACATCCAGGGAAATCTGTTCTAGGGTGATTGATCTGCTAAATGAGAATCTGTCCTAGAAGCAGTTTTCCTGGGTGTCCTGACTAGCTTGGATGAGACTGAACCTTTCTCCCCTTCAAACTGCCTTCAGTAAATGATTTCAGTATATTGAGGCAGTTTCCCTTTTCTCATAGAAACCTAGCTGGTCTTAGATATGCAGATCTCAGGTGCTAGCCAGGCCTGATCTTTGAGATGTAGATTCCAAGCTCTAGCAGACTGGTCTTTGGCATGCAAATCCAAGTGCTTGTAGCTTGTGAATGTGCTTGTGAAAGGTTTCAGTTTGGTTTTGTATCTTCTTTCTGGAGGCCAAAATTACTGGCCTGAGAAACAATGTATGGTTTGCCTCCTCAATCTTCTTTCTGTAACTCCTTTTGATGACATCACTATATTGCACCCTTTAGAGGTACCATGATCTATTTAAGGGGACACGTGCGTCAGAGAACCTGGGAAGATGGGGCTGAGGACAGAAGCTGAGAGAACAAAGGTGTACTTCTTGAGAGATCCTGGGGCCTCCATGACATACATCTCTTCCATGTAATAAACTGCTGCTAAGACCAACCAGGTTGGCCCCCATTTCCTTCCTTCGCCTGACCATCGCCATCGACCTCCCTGGAGTGGAGAAATGGCCTGAGACTACTGAACGTGGGCGGCGGGAGAGATAGGCTGCTGCTGTCCCTTTGCCCGTCCTTTTTGTGTGTGTTTACACACAGTTTAATTTTTTTTTTAAAAAAAATCACTGTCCTTTTCTGAACTAGTGGGGTATTTTATATTCAAGCCTATTCCTGATTTTTCTTTAAGAACCACAAGACTTAAGTGTCTTTATGAACTTTTTTTTGTTAGTTCAATCTCAGGACTTGTTCTGAAATCACAGAGTAAAATGTCAGTTTTCACTTTTCATCAAACTTTGGCTGGGCTTTGGCCCAACACCCTTCACTCACTGATAGTTTGGCTTTTTTGATTATTAGATTGTTGTGATCCTGCATCAGACTAATATTGTGGTGAGTATCAAGATAAAGCCAGTAAATCTCGGTGGCAAGAGAGTGCAGGAGAAAGTATCATCCTGTAAATGATTCCTTCACTGGTGATAGAAATGTAGGTAAGGTAAGAAATTTTCCTGTTTTACTTTGCAGTTCCATAAAATTGTATTGTAGCATTGTCCTTCCATTGTTCATCAATTTTCTTGAGCGGGGACCAGTAACGTCTCCATTCTGAGACTTGTTGTTACTGTGTTTGGCATATCAAATACATCACGGGTAGCTTGCCAGGCTTTGTCTCTGATCCTAATAAATTCTAGATTGGGAGTCAGGACCTCTGGGTAAAATACTAATTTTGCTTCTCTCTGTGTGACCTTTAGCAAATTATTTAATGGCTTGGAATGTCAGTTTCTTCAAGGCATAATGAGGACAAACCATGAGAATTTATGTGAATATGTTGGACGGTGTAAATTTTACCAGGGAGACATTTATTTCATTTCTAAAGTTTGCAAGCATGATTAAGAGTTGGTAGACTGAGAAAACCCATGGTTTACAGATAAGCCAAAGCTAACAAAGAAGCTCTTTCTTAATATACTATAAAAGAGTGGAGAAAATAACACTGTCTTTACGACATTGGTCATATATTTTAGCTTAGATAGCAGAGGGGAGCAAGAGAAGATTCTTTGTTGTTGTTGTTTCATTTGTGGGGTTACATCTGGCAAGGCTCAGGGGTTACTTCTGGCTCTTCACTCTAGAATTACTTTTGGTGATGCTCAGGGGATCATATGGGATGCAGTGAAGCCAACCTAGGTGGGCCTCTCAAGCAAGGCAAATGCCCTGCCACTGTACTATCTCTTTGGCATCTTTTAAATATTTTTTTGAGGGGGGATGGGGATCACCATTCAATTCATCAGTGTCTTGTGTATTTTTAAAGTATTTAAATCTTTAAAAAATAGTATTTATGAAATAATATTTGTATACAGACCCAAAAATGTAAGAGTCTGAATATAAAGTTATTTTTGAGGCAATCATTACTAAACTTCCTTAATAATTATCTCAGATATTCCAAGTTCCTCTGGTTGACTCTAAGACTCAGTGTGCATAGTAGCACCATCATTCCACAGTGCAGTGACAGAAGATCTTAATGTATTAAACATGCACTATAGTCTTCAGCACGTCTAGGTTTTGCAGAATGACATGCAGCTGCAGGTACAGGTGGCTGTGTGGGCAGGGTAGAGGAACACCCTGCTAGGCTCCAGTACCTCTCCTACTCTGTACTCCCCAACGAGGCAGTCAGAGGTGCAACTTCCTCCCATCAGGTGGTAACTCCACACACAGGATAAGCAATTCAAGTCTCCGCTTCCTGAAAATAAAAATATTCTGTTAGAAGAGTGACCTTACTTTTCTACCTATGTCTTTATTTTCAAGCACTTCAGGACAAGAATTTTGTCTTGTAACTTGGTATAGAAGAGTGAGTTCTTCTACATGGAAAACATGTCTATAAAACCGCAAACTCCTAACTAGAAATTATACAATTAGTTTGGTCATTGGAAACCCTCGTTTTGGAAACTGAGGATTTGCAAAGGGCAACTCTTTATAAAATATATAAGAACATATAAAAGAAAATGAAAGAATATATAAAAGAAAATATAAAAGAATATATTTTTTTAGAGTGTTAGAATCCACGGAGAAAGTTTATAAAACTCCCATCATTCTGCTTATTACTTACTGAATAAAGAACAAGGATGATACGTGTTAATCTGGAGGAACCCAATACTTGTTTAGTGAAGCATGACCGAGCATTTCCTCATTGAGAAATACCACCAGTCTTAGCACTCACAGGATTGCCTAATAGAATTTAGCAGATTTTTTTCTCCAGTGATAATTTATTTGGGAGAAAGGTGGCTGTGGATATATTATTTTGAAACTTTATTTTATTTATTTTTGTTTATTTTGGGTTAACACCCGGCGGTGCTCAGGGCTTCCTCCTATCTCTGTGCTCAGGGATCCCTCCTGGCAAGCTCTGGGGATAATGTGGGGCTCCAGGAATCAAACCTGATCAGCCACATGTAAGGTGAATGCTCCACCTGCTGTTGTATCTCTCCAGCCCCTTTGAAACTTTCTGGAGGTGCCCCAAGGACTATGCTCTGGTTTAGCTTGCCCGCCTTGCTAACAGAAGGCTATAAATTCAATCCCTGGAGCAATCACGTGCCCCTAGACCAGTGCAGCTTTGTGGTCTATCATCCTGGGGACCAGAAGCAATATTTGTGTGAGCACCATAATGAAAGTGGTCTGAGCAGGATCCCAAAATGTATCTGAGGACCACAACCAGGAGTTATAGCTCCCAGTGAGCACCTGTGAGAGTACCACTGAAGCCAGGGAATGCTCAAGAACCATCACGAAGGGGGCTGGAGCAATAGCACAGCGGGTAGGGCGTTTGCCTTGCACACGACTGACTTGGTTTCGATTCCCAGCATCCCATATGGTCCCCTCAGCACTGCCAGGGGTAATTCCTGAGCACAGAGCCAGGAGTAACCTCTGTGCATTGCCAGGTGTGACCCAAAAAGCAAAAAAAAAAAAAAGAACCATCATGAAGCACTGTAACAAAAATATGCAAATGCTACAGGGAGGTCTGCGTGTAATCCCAAGCAATTGCAACAAAGGGAAGGGATATAAGGAAATCAAAAAGGCTTCCCCCCAAAAAAATTCTCCTGAAAGTTCTATTCTTTCTTCTCAGAAATTTAGCATCCTATTTGCTCTTTCTTCTGGAGCTAATTGCTTTCTCTTGATTCAGAGACCCCAATGATGACAGACTCAAGCATCTCCTTCTGTGAAGATACCCAGAAATAACTTTTACAAGAAGTTTGGAAACAAGAGCTGAACTCAAGTTCATTCCTTAGGCCTTGGAATCCCATATTGTCCTCAGTGCTCACCAGGAGTGATCCCTGAGTATCAAACCAGGAGTGTCCTGAACATAGCTGAATGTGGTCCCCCCACCAACCCAAAACAACTAAATAAATAAACCAAAATTTTTATTACCATTTAGGTAATATGATTGAAGTTGTGTTTAAGTTTATACTATTGATGTGCTAAGCTGCTGTATACCACCAAAGTGTCCATGACTCCACCCCACCCTTATGTTACTCTGTTCTAATCTTCATCTCCTTTACTCCTCCCTTTAATTTAATATTAAATTTAAATGTTAATTCATTAAATTAATATAATTAATTTTATTTTAATAAAGATAAAAAATGTAATATATTTTGTAAGCTAAGACCGAGGTATAAATGCTATTCATAACAATATTGTAAATCATGATGCCTAAATATAATCTGGGGTTAAAGATTCTTTCTTAAAATCAAAGAGAGTTCCGGGGGCTGGAGCAATAGCACAGCGGGTAGGGTGTTTGCCTTGCACACAGCCGACCCAGGTTCGATTCCCAGCATCCCATATGGTCCCTTGAGCACCGCCAGGAGTGATTCCTGAGTGCAGAGCCAGGAGGAACCCCTGAGCATTGCCAGGCGTGACCCAAAAAGCAAAAAAGAAAAAAAAATCAAAGAGAGTTCCTTTTAAGCAGATGAGTATCATTATGACATTTTCCTAGAGAGAGATCTGAGAAAATAATAGAGGACTGGTTGATTATAGAGTGATTAATATTAGAAACAGGAAGGCTCATTAAAAAAATGAATAATTTAGACAAGGAATGGAAAAGTTCTGAACTAAGGCAGTGATACTGGAAAAAATGGGAATGTGAAATTGGTGGTTGTCTAAGGGTAAATTTGATGGGAACTGAGGACAAATTTGACATGGGGAGTGAGAGAGAAATAGAGGATAATGGCCCAATTACTTTGGCTGAGGCAACTGGGTAGGTGAGAAAGCCAGTTGTTAAGATACAAAGGAAAGAAAAAGTGATGCAGGAATGGTGTGAGAAAGCCTATAAATAATGTAACTACGGTTTAGTTTTGAGGTGTGAGGCGGGGTGCTACTTCCAACTTGTTCAGAGAGCATTTCTGGTGAGGCATCAGAAACTGTGCGATCCAAGGATTTAATCTGGGCCTCCCTGCACCTCAAGAATGTACCCTAATCACTGCATTATCTAGCCAGTCTATATTTCTATTTTTTTTTTTTTTTTGCTTTTTGGATCACACCTGGCAATGCACAGGGGTTACTCCTGGCTCTGCACTCAGGAATTACCCCTGGCGGTGCTCAAGGGACCATATGGGATGGTGGGAATTGAACCCGGGTCGGCCGCGTGCAAGGCAAACACCCTACCCACTGTGCTATTGCTCCAGCTCCTCTTCATTTCTATTTTAAGGTGTCTATTAGGCATCCAATTGGAGACATGCAACAAGCTACTGGATGTGTGGAAATGGAATCCATATAACTACTTGGGAAAATGTAGATTTGAGAGCATAAACACACAACAAAATTAGAGGTCACTTTCTGGGCTGGATATATGGCTTAATGGGCTGAGTATATGCTTTGGACACAAGAAGTATGAGTTTAATATTTGGTACTGCGTGGTCCCCTGAGTACCACCGGGATTGACTCCTAAGCACAGAGCCATAAGTAGCCCCTGAGCACTGCCAGCTGTGGTCCAAATGAAAACCAAAGAAACAAACAAACAAAAGAAGTCACTTCCACCTGGAAATGGCTTTATTATATACATGTAGCAAGAGATATTTTTATTTTATTGGGATGCAAGGCAGTTTTTCCGGGAGCCTCTGTCCCCCTCGGAGAGCCTGGCAAGCTACTGAGGGTATCCCACCCATGCGACAGAGCCTGGCAAGCTACCCGTGGTGTATTCGATATTCCAAAACCAGTAAAAATAATGGGCCTCATTCCCCTGACCCTGAAAGAGCCTCCAATGTGGCAGCGTTGGGAAGGACGAGTAAGGAGAAGCTGCTAAAATCTCAGGGTTGGGACAAATGGAGATATTACTGGTGTCCACTCGAGTAAATCAATGAACAACAGATTAACAATAAAATAAAGTTTCCCACACTCCTTCACTGTTGGTGGCAATGCCGACTGGTTCAGTCCTTTTGGAAAACAGTATGGACGATTCTCAAAAAATTAGAAATTGAGCTCCCATTTGATCCAGCAATACCACTCCTGGGAATATATCCCAGAGAGGCAAAAAAGTATAGCCAAAGTGACATCTGCAATTGTTTGTTCATTGCAGCACTCTTTATAATAGCCAGAATCTGGAAAAAACCTGAGTGCCCAAGAACAGATGACTGGTTAAAGAAACTTTGGTACATTTACACAATGGAGTACTATGTAGCTGTTAGAAAAGATGAAGTCATGAACTTTACATACAAGTGGTACTACATGGAAAGTATCATGTTAAGCAAAATGACTCAGAAAGAAAGGGATAGACATAGAAAGATTGCATTCATCTGGGAAACATAAAGTAACAAAATAGGAGACTAACACCCAAGAATGGCCGAGATTAGTACCAGAAATTTTACTCCATGGCTTGGAGGCCAACCACACATGCTAGGGGAAAAGGGAGCTCAGATAGAGAAGGGAACACCAAATAAAGGTGTTGGGAGGATCCTCCCAGGATGGGAGAAGCATGCTGAAAGTAGACTATAGACCAAACATGATTGTCACCCATTGCCTCTTTTGCAAACCACAACACCCAATAGGAGAGAGAGAACAAAAGGGAATGCCCTGCCACAGAGGCAGGGTGGGATGGGGGTGATGAGGGTGGGTGGGAGGGATACTGGGATCCGGGGTGGTGGAAAATGGGCACTGGTGGAGGGATGGGTATTTGCTCATTGTATAATTGAAGCCCAAGCACAAAAATGTGTAAGTCTGCAACTGTACCTCACGATGTCTCACTAATAAAAATTAAATAAATAAATAAATAAATAAATAAATAAATAGTTTCCCAGGACATCTTTAGGGAAGACACAGAAGATGAGAGAAAATGGAAGGAGCTGATGCTAAGGACAGCTGACAACTGTAAGGCTTCTTCAAAGGCAGTGAGAAAACCAGAGGGGCCGGGCAGGAAGGGAAACCTCACCTTCGCAGGTGTTGCAAGTGGGGTGGCATCTCACGCAGGTGTGTTTGCTTTCATCTGCATGGTAGTGGTCTGGGCAGGTGCGACGACACTCTCCCGTGGAGTGCAGCAGGAAGAAAAATGGATCACAAGACAGACAGTCTGTGGGTCTCGGACCCCGGCAGCTCTTGCAGCTCTTGTCACATCTCTGACATTGACCTGAGGAACTTTCTGCATAATGTCTGAAACCAAGAGGGAAAGTGAGGAGTGAACTCCAAGTTGACTCTGAACTTGGATGTGGTGGGGAAAAAAAAGTCTGTGGCACAGGGCTATTTACAGGTTGGGAGCTGGAAGATTTAGAGTCATTGCTAATTAGATATAGTAAGGCTTCTGATGCTGTTTCTTTGTCTGTTAAATTGGGCATTTCTAGCCCTTCCCTGTGTGTGAATATGACGTTAAAAAACACACATGAGTCTCAGAGCATCAAATAGGATTTCATGCGTGGCTATAGAAGTTAACTAAGGCCCTAAGCAAACTACTCTGAGATTAAATGCCAAAATATCTATGTGCATTGTTCAGGACACAGGGCATTACATACCTGTCTTGCAAAGGCAAAGTATTTAACATAAGGAATTCAGATAATGTATGTGGAATATTGACTTCACAAAAGGAGCCATTTCAGTTAAGTGTCTCCATGTATACATCTTTTCTACCCTGTTTATTCCCCATATATGCCAACTTGTGACTCTCCTACCCAGTAGCTTCATGCATTGTCAAACAAAAGCTTCCTTTATTTCATGGTATGCACTCCATTTAGATCACTGTTTACAGCCTTTTTGTATATGAAAATATTTAATAGGTGGATTTGATGAAGATGGAGATTCTTCATATGGGACTCGGCTCTTTTCAGGTGCTTATTAAGACGAAGACAAAGAACTGAACTAATCCCTTCTTTTGTCTTAACTAGACCAAACATGATTGCCACCCATTGCCTCTTTTGCAAACCACAACACCCAATAGGAGAGATAGAACAAAAGGGAGTGCCCTGCCACAGAGGCAGGGTGGGATGGGGGGGATGGGGGGTGGGAGGGATGCTGGGATCCGTGGTGGTGGGAAATGGGCACTGGTGGAGGGATGGGTATTTGATCATTGTATAATTGAAACCCAAGCCCCAAAATTTGTAAGTCTATAATCAAGGTGTTTCACTAATATCTGTCACTGTCACTGTCACAGCAGTAGGGCGTTTGCCTTGCACGCAGCCAACATGGCCCACCGGAGTTCGATTCCTCCACCCCTCTCGGAGACCCTGGCAAGCCACCGGGAGTAGCCACCGGGAGTATCTTGCCCTCACGGCAGAGACTGGTAAGCTCCCTGTGACGTATTCGATATGCCAAACACAGTCTCACTAATAAAAATTTTTTAAAAAAAGGACTCCCCTTTATTGACTGGCTTGCTGGTTTTTTTCTAAGAGTTGGTAATGTGTGGGATTCTGTGCTGAGTATAAGAGTAATATGTGTAGTAATGTGCAAAAGATTAAATGTATTTTTATTTCTAGGAATATAAAATTTTCTCATTATGGGAAGAGATATACAATGCATCACTTGATCATGAGATTTCATCATTGTGTCTCACAGTTAGATCACAAACCTAGAGGGTGTAGTTTACTCCACACCTCTGCTATACACAGGACCAGTGCTGTACTGGATGGTGTCTTTCACTTTGAAAAAAGTTCATTCAGGGACATATGACTAAGAAGAAAAAAACTTTTAAAGGTCACAGTCACATCTGTGTGTTCTTCATTAAACATGTGTTGAATGAATGAGATAAATCAAACCACCAGGCAGTATATGGTACTAAAATTAGCAATACAAGCTAATTACAATTAATTGTAAGTAATTATAATAGGCCTGAAAAGAAGAGAAAAGATGTGAGAAATATTTGGGGAAGGACCATCTGGGTGAAACTTGTGGGTTAAGCCCAAGAATACAGCCCTTCAATTTGTGTCTGGAAACTCTTAGTGTCTTAGGTTACTGATGAGGAAAAAAGAGTTCACAGAAGACTGTAATTAATCTTTTCCTTTTCAGAGGATGCCTGGAGGAGAAAAAAAGGGGATGACCCCATCAAATCCTTTTCTAGATTTACTGGTAACCAGACCTTCTGAAAAATACACAAACTCTCTTCCTGAGAAGAAAAATAACAGAAAAATTTCATTTGTAAAATGTTTTTAGAAGAATACACTTGTGTATTCTGTGCATAGAAGTAGTTGTTGATAACTAAACATGAAACTGGTGGATTTTAGGGGGAGGACGGATTAGAGAAATGGTGGTGGCATAAATGGAGACATTTAACTGAGATTGTTCTCTTCATGAATTAACAATGCACATAGATTGCATATATCTAACATATGAAATTGATCAATTGAAATCCTAACGCTGAAGAGGAGGAAAGCTCTAATCTTGGATGTCTTTAGGGAGAAATCTTTGTCTTTGTCTTCTGAATGTTAATTCTTTGAATCAGTAGTGAAGTTTGGCAACTGAGTCTGACTTGACAATATGACCCTTTAAATGACCTTCATTCAGTCATTTTTCTTCTTTCGTTTTCTTTCCCATAACTATGAGTTGGCAGAAATCTTTTATAGATGATGAGACCTGAGTTGGATTCTCACTTTTGTCCCTTCTAGCCATGTAAGTATTCTGCAGCATTATTTTCTCACCTACAAAATGAATTTGCAAATACTGGTGGTCTCCAGAGTGGAGTTAAATGAATGAAAAGTCTGTTGAGTGCCTTACCCTTCCCTGCACTGGGGCAGACACTCCTCTCCCAGCCGGAAGAAGCCCGGTTTGCAGGAGAGGCACTGTTTGCTGCGTCCTCCGTTACATGTCCTACAAGAGCTGTGGCAGGGGAGACACTGATCACCGTCCTCATAGTATCCCTCAGGACACTCCTTCACACAGGTGGTGTCTGTCAAAGGAAGAAAAGAGTCTGGCTTGATATTAGGTGTGACAATTTCTTCCCAACCTCCTCTTTGGTCTCCTCACTGCCCCATGAGGGGAGACTGAGTTCCTGTGTAATGAGATGGTGTCCATGAAGGATTATGGATATCCTTGAAAGGTGCGCAGGAAGTAGAACTCGCCACACAGCTGTTAGGAGTCAAGAGAAAACATCGTTTAGGCTGTGTTGATAAGATACCAAGTCTGTGAGTGAGGGAATTGACGGGGTCTCCCAGCAAACAGAAGAACATTTAGGCAGAGACTGGGACAGTAAGAATCAAGGGGACACTGAAGAAAAGCTGATATAGGGACACTGGGTGACTCATTTCTGTCACTTTAACTTTCAACTTTGGCTACACTCCTCCCATGTAAAATTTTAAACTTCAGATCTATTGCTCTGTTTGCACAGTAGCCCTTGAAATTTAAATAGAAGATAAAAGTAGAATAAGAAAATATAGACTTTGGTTGCTCTATTGCATGAACACAGGATATAGAATGACTCTATATGTTACAACATGAAGTACAGAAAGTCTCTTTTTTGCTCATGAATTTGAACAGTAGATGAAAATCTTTCATCCTTGCTATGCACCAATAAAAGTGGGAGTTGAGTAATTCAGTTCCACACCACCCCACTCTTTCCTCTACCAACCCCAGGGAGACACTTGTTCTTTTTTCTTCTTCCTGAATAACATTTAGATATCAAAGACATGGGTGGGTTAATGAGAAAGTTTAAAAATAAAATTTGTTGGTCACATGTCCTTCTCTCCCGGAAGGGAGCATAACATGACACTTGCCATAACCATGCTGCCGGATTCCACACCAGGCTGTTTCATTCAGGGTGCCCCAGGTGGGGGTCCAGTGAGACCCCTCTCCGTCTCAAGGGACCCAGCTCCGGCAGCTGAAAACCTCCAGAATTCAACTGCAACTATGCTCACAGCCACTCTCCACACACTCTGGCCAAGGCTCACCCAACAGTGAACCTATTCCTGGACCACACGGCAGCATTTGCAATACTCCGTACAACATACCACCCATACTCCAATAGTATCGCACCACATTTCATGGGGTTCAAAGTAGGAGGCAACCAATCTTAGAAGGAATTTTTTTTTTTGCTTTTTGGGTCATGCCTGGCGATGCACAGGGGTGACTCCTGGCTCTGCACTCAGGAGTTACTCCTGGCGGTGCTCAGGGGACCATATGGGATGCTGGGAATCGAACCTGGGTCAGCCGCATGCAAGGCAAATGCCCTAGTCGCTGTGCTACCTCTCCAGTCCCAGGAATTTTTTTACACATACACACACACACATATATATATATATATATATATATATATATATATATATATGCACACAAGGCTCAACCTTTAACAACATGTTAGTGATCTCTTATAGAAGGGCTTTATGGGCCCCTTGGTGAAATACAACAATCTTCACACTCTTTCCTCTAAGAAAACTTTTTTGTAGCATTTTTAGCAGTTTTTCATAACAAACAGCACCAAATATATTACTTTGGTTCTACTTTGGGGCAGGGGTTGAGATTCGGGATGGAAATATCTGAAATACGATGGTGAGGAGATGTAGTGGTAGTGGGATTGGTCTTTTACTATTAAATGTAATCAAACATTGTGAACTACTTTATAAAATAAAAAAAATGGAAAAAATTAAATTTGTTGGCTCCACAATTCAGAATACAGTACTTAGTGACAATTTCTCTTGCCTTCCACACCTTCTTTTTTGTTGCTGTTGTTTTAACGGTCACAATAGTGATTTCCCGGGGTTACTCCTGCACTCAGAAATTACTCCTGGTGGGGCCTGGGGGACCATATAGGATGCTGGGGATTAAGCCTGGATCAGACCCATGCAAGGCCAGCATCTTACCCACTGAACTCTACAGTCTCCAACTTCCCCAACTTCTGCTTACATCCATGGACTAAAAACCAGGCTTGTTTATTATTAGGGTGAAGTTCTCTTCAACCTCAGGCTGGAAGCCTGCTTTTATTTCCATCAATAAACTGATTGGTTGAAAGGCTAAATAATATTAGAGTTGCTGAGAAAACTGCTTTAGACACAAACTCTTTGTAGGGCTATTTTCTGAGTCACTAAGGGCCGGCGATGGTATAAATCTCTGTTTCTCTAACACTCAATGCAGTACCAGGCCCTTGTAAATGTTTGTTTTGTGGCTACTTTGTTTAAAATAAATGCTTGTCCAGTTGATATATTTGACAATTATAAAGACATTAGTTAGTTGTCATATAGATCAAGAAGTCTCCTAAAGATGATGCACTTCTCATGAAATTTACATACAAGTGGTACAACATGGAAAGTATCATGCTAAGCGAAATGAGTCAGAAAGAGAGGGATAGACATAGAAAGATTGCATTCATCTGGGGGATATAAAGTAACAAAGTATGAGATTAATACCCAAGAATAGCTGAGATCAGCACCAGGAGGATTACTCCATCACTTAGAGGCCAGCCGGGTATCCTAGAGGAAAGGGCAGTTCAGATAGAGAAGGGAGCACCAAATAAAGGATGTTTGGAGGATCCTCCCAGGAGGGGAGATGCATGTCGAAAGTAGACTATGGACTGAACATGTTTGCCACTCAATGCCTCTTTTGCAGACCACAACACCCAAAAGGAGAGAGAGAATACAGGGGATTGCCCTGCCACAGAGACAGGGGGATGGGGGGATGGGAGTGGGAGGGATATTATCCATGGTGGTGGAAAATGGGCACTGGTGGAGGGATGGGTATCTGATCATTGTATAATTGAAACCCAAGCACAAAAAATTGTAAATCTATAACTTTAAAAAAAAATAAAATAAAATAAAGGGAAAAAAAAAAGATGATGCACTTCTGTATTTCCTGTTGTTGCTGCAACAAATTGCCAGAAACTTTGTGGTTTAGGTGCTAGAGAGACACTACAGGTGCTGGAGCTCTTGTCTTGCATGTGGCTGACCTTGTCCTAGCACCACTTTGTTTAGGTGCTAGCGAGATAGTCCTGTAGGCCTATCTCTCTAGCACCTAGAGCAAGTTCTGATGCTTGTTCTAGGTCCTAGAGGGCAAGTTAAAAATGACTCCACAGGGCTTTGTTCCTTTTAAAGCCTCTGGTAGAAAACCTGTGTTTTTTTTTTGGACTTTTCCCTTGCAAGACTGCCTATATTCCTTGACGTGCAGCCCCTCCAACACCTTCAAGGCCAGCACTTAACCTCACTTCTCTTTCTCCCTTTCTCTTTTGCTCTCTACCACTTTCTGCTTTCATTTGAGTCTCTGCAACTAACTTTGATCCTTCTTCCCCTCTCTTAAAAGGACCTTTATGATAATCCAGGATAACCCTCCCAAATTCAGACGATTCTTTTCATCATACTTGCAAGAGCTTTCTTTCCATGCAAATGAACTTTGCACAGGGCCTGGAGATTAGAAGGCAGATATTTGTAGGGAGAAGCAGTTTGCTTTAGCACAGCCTCCAGAAACACCGTGTATTTTTATAACTCTCCAACCTTTAGTTGGAACGGGGTGGAAGGAACAATGTGAGCAGAGCAGCATGAACACATGCTACACAAAGCTCTCAGAGAGCTCAGACCTTGGCCTCTATACCACCATGGATGTCTCCATCTCTAGTCTAGTTCTTACCACTAGTTTAAGGGGATGCCGTCTTGGAAAAGGAAGAAACATCTTTCTGGCCTTAAGAAGGGGTTTGACATAAGGCCTAAAGGGAAAGAGAGAGAGACAGTGAGAGAGAGAGAGAAATAGAGAGAGAGGAAAACTGTCTGCCACACTGCCATAGAGTAGGAGGGTAACAAGGGCCTTTGTGGTAGGAAAAGTACACTGGTGAAGGGATGCGTGTTAGAACATTATAGGACAAATCCAATCATGAACAACTTTGTAAATGTGTTTTTATCACTGCAATTCAATTAAAAAAAAAAAGAAGGGATTTAACAAGGTCCAGGTCTGGCCCATGGCTGAAAGTTTGCCATAAAGGGGTCGAGGATGGAGTAGATTGTTAGAATAGAGAAGGAACCACTATGACAATGGTAGTTGGAAATGATCACTCTGGACAAAAATTGAGTGCTAAAAGGAGGTAAAGGGATATACATGATGACATTTCAGTACCTGTATTACAAATCTAATGCCCAAAAGGAAAGAGAGAGAGGAGAGAGAGAGAGAGCCAAAAGGAAAGAGAGAGAGAGAGGAGAGAGAGAGAGAGAGAGAGAGAGAGAGAGAAGAAAATTGCCTGCTTGGGTGGCAGGAGGGAAACTGAAGTAGTAGGAAATGTATTCTGGTGAAGAGACAGGTGATAGAACATTCTATGACTAAAACCCAATCATGAAAAACTTTGTAAATGGGTATCTCACTGTGATTTAATAATAAAGAAAAGTGGGGAGGGTTGAGGAGAATTTTGACAGCACTCTATAGTGGGGATAATTAGTAAAGATCAGAGAGTTTGAAACTATGAAAATCCGTTCTTTTCTCAAGGCTCAGAAGCTTCAGGGAAGAACCGTGACTGAGGGTTACATCAGAGAAGGAAATGGTTGAGTGGAGAAGATGGGCATCTTCGTGTGTTTTCTACAAGGAGGCTATTGGGCTTGGTAATGAGGAGAACATACCTCACATGTTGGGGAAACAGTATCCTTGTTGATGACACAAGCAGAGGAAAGGCCTGGCCCTCTCCTATGAGTGTCTTGCTTTTCAGGACTACACTGGGGAGAGAGGAGCTTGGAAGCTTTCTAGATCTTTACCAAATCTCCCCTTTTTTCTCTATCCTATACCCTTTAACTGCTTCACTTGACTTTTATTCTATTTTCTATATCCCATTCCTGGATTAAACCAATTTTTTTTAATCTCTGGAAAGTCCAGGGCACTGCCTCACAATATCAGTAACTAACAAAGAATCTGGATGAGTCTGCCAGCCTGAGATATCAACTCATCAATGGAAGCTAAATCAAGGGAACATTCTGATGCGGAGCTGAACCTCGACATGTTTGTCACATCTCTCTCCGTACCACATATTAAGTGCAAGTGGGAAAAATCCTCCATGTGGTGGAGGATCAACATCCTGAACAAATAACCACTAACAACATCAGTGAAGGGCAAGTGAACGTCATGTGACTCCACAGGGGTTTAACATTACCTAGAAATTATTCCAACTAAGAATGCTTAATCTGCATCTGAGCAGGAAAAAAAGCCAACAACATAAAGAGTCTTCAAAAATTAGTTATTATTATCGACAGTGGCAATGTTTTCAATGAACATGGAATCACTGTCCAATTCACTTGGTGCTATGGTTACCTAAGAAAACATTCCTATAAAGTTAATAGACTTTATGGAAAAGGACAATGACTCATATAGTGTCTCTTTAAAAATATATTGTGGGTTAGTCAGAATCTGGAAATAACATGAGTGCTCGAGAACAGATGACTGGTTAAAGAAACTTTGGTACATTTACACAATGGAGTACTATGTAGTTGTTAGAAAAGGTGAAGTCATGAAATTTACATACAAGTGGTACTACGTGAAAAGTATCATGTTAAGCGAAATGAGTCAGAAAGAGAGGGATAGACATAGAAAGATTGCATTCATCTGGGAAACATAAAGTACAAAATAGGAGACTAACACCCAAGAGTGGCTGAGATTGGTACCAGGAGGTTTTCTCCATGACTTGGAGGCCAGCCACACATGCCAGGGGTAAAGGGAGTTCAGATAGAGAAGGGAGCACCAAATAAATGGTGTTGGGAGGATCCTCCCAGGATGGGAGAAGCATACTGAAAGTAGACTATAGACAAAACATGATTGCCACTCAATGCCTCTTTTGAAAACCACAGAACCCAAAAAGAGAGAGCGAGAACAAAAGGGAATGCCCTGCCACAGAGGCAGGGTGAGATGGGGGGAATGGGGGTTGGGAGGGATACTGGGATCCGTGTTGGTGGGAAATGGGCACTGGTGGAGGGATGGGTATTTTTGTCAGTGTATAATGGAAACCCAAGCACAAAAATTTGTAAGTCTACATTCGAAATGCCAGACACAGTAACAACAAAGTCTCCAATGGAGACGTTACTGGGCCCGCTCGAGCAAATCGATGATCAAGGGGAGGGCCTTTACTTTTACCTTTACAACTGTGCCTCATGGTGTTTCACTAATAAGAATTAAAAATATATATATATATATATATAGTGGATTATATGTACGAAGAGTGAGAGCAATCAGAAAAGCTATAAGAAAACATTAAAATCATGCATGAATAAAATGGAAGACACTCATGCTAAGCAAAGTTAAAAGGAGAGAGACAAATACTGAATGTTCGCTCTCATATGAAGAATGTGAAGAAACATTTGTCCTCCCGTTGTTCATCAATTTTGCTCGAGCAGGCCCAGTAACGCCTCCATTTGAGACTTCTTGTTACTGTATTTGGCATATCAAATACGTCACGGGTAGCTTGCCAGGCTTTGCCGTGTGGGCAAGATACTCTCTGTAGCTTGCCAGTCTCTCCGAGAGGGGTGGAGGAATCGAACCCGGCTCAGCCGGGGTGGCTGTGCGCAAGGCAAATGCCCTACCACTGTGCTATCCCACAGTAACAACGAGTGACGAAACATAGTAAGAAAAAACAAATGGCCAAAGGCATCAGTATCCAACAGTTGACCTACAGCACTGAGATTACTAAGGGCCTGAGTGGGGAGGGTGTGGGAAGGGAGAGTGGTGGAGGGATGCTGACACTATGGTGGCCGATGAGGTATTGGGGCATTGTACACATAAAACTCTGTTATTCTAAGTCATGGTGCCTAGATAAAAATTGAAAATAGGTAAATAAGGGGAGGGGAAAAAAAGAATGAGAACAAGCAGGTGAGGAAGCAGTTGGAAGAAAAAGGCTCAGGGAAATGGGTTATAAGGCACCAGGTGATGTTTCTGTGCAATTCCACTCCCCTTTCTGTCCGTGAGTTCACCATTTTCTCCCAAAGATGAGAAAGGAAAAGCATCTACTGGGCCTCTGGCAACATGAGGTGGTCACCCTGACAACCCTCTTTAGAGAGAAAGCAGCTCACTGAGAAGCCGGTCCCCCTTCCAGCAGGAGTAACACTGGTGGGGTGCTGGGCCTGAGCAGTGCAAGCACGTCTTGTGGCAAGGCTGACATCCCAGGGACTTTGTCCAGTACTCTGAGGGTGCACATTCCTGATGCGGCACACAATTCCTGGCTCGGTTCAGCATCAGCCCTGCTGGGCATGTAATGCAGGTCCCAGATGAGGAGCAGGTCTGGCATGACTTCAAGCAATCTGTGGGTAGATAGAGACAGAGAAAGTGCTGGGCACCTGTTCCTTTTTAAATCATCCCATTCCTTCCAGAAATTTCCAAGGTTCTGTGTCTAGGGACTGGAGCATTCATGTTGCAGAATTTGAAAAGCAAGTGTTTGCTTTCACTTTGTCTGAATATTTAGGCTCCTTTTGCAACAAAAATATCAGTCAGACTCACCATAATTGTCCACAGGACAATAAGATAATAAAGAGTTCTGCAGCAGCTGGGCCCTGTGCTGACGTGTGGCCGTTTCAGCATGACGCTTAGTCTATGGTCCTCCACACACTTTCCACAATACCTAGATTTTAACACTTTCAGCAAATGCCAAGCTTAACTGTTGAGACAGAGCATCTTCTTTTTTGTTTATTTGCTTCTTTTTGATCACACCTGGTGACACTCAGGGCTTATTCCTGGCTCTGTGCTCTGGGATCACTCCTGGCAGGCTCTGGAGACTTTATGGGTTGGGTGGCGGTTGAACCCAAGTCAACTGTATTCAAGGCATGTGCCCTACCCACTGTACTATTGCTCTGGCCCTTGGAAACAGGGCATCTTTGGCATTCATGAACGCACAGTGCCAGTGAGAAAGTCTGGCACATAATGAGCACCCAATCAGTATTTGTCAGAGAAATTGAAGAACAACTCACTCCCACTTTCAGGGTTAACAATTGCTACTCCCTCAACCTAGAATTCTCTTCTCCCAGATAGATGCCTATTCCATGCTTTCCCTTTCTCAGTATCTTCCAGGTCACCTTCTCTCTAATTTCAACTCTATCCCACCCAACTTCCAGTCTCATGTTTCTTTTCAGTTTATCTATTTAGAATATGTATTATTAAATAAAATGTAAGCCCCCTGAGGCCAGGGACTCTGGTCAACCTCTGATGTTGCCCAGACCACAAGGGCATGTGGCACAAAGGAGATTAATTGCCTATAGGCCAATAAACACTCACTGGATTAACAGATCCATGGGATTATACTGGTGGCATTATCCTCTCTCTCTCTCTCTCTCTCTCTCTCTCTCTCTCTCTCTCTCTCTCTTATCTAGATTAGGATACTAAGGTGTTAATGCTACATTGCTCCCCTGGGAGAGATAGAATCACAAGTTAATTCCAGGCCCTCAAGAAGAGCTCTTGTTAATTCTGCCCCAGAACCTCATGAAAATTGTGGAATCTTCTAACGGACACATTGCTTAATTAGCATAGGGATAATTCAAGATCAGCAGAATGAATTTCAAGTCCTTGTATTTCATAGTGGTGATCCCGCTTGGACATTGTTTTGTTCTAGACACTTCTTTTTAAAAAAAAAAGATTCTGTTGTATCACTGTGAGATAGATGCTTACAAAGTTGTTCACAATTAGGTTTCAGTCACACAGTGTTCCCACACCCATCCCGCCACCACTGTACATATTCCAGCACTAGTTTCCCTCCCATCACCACTATCCCCTAGCCGGCATTTATGGCAGGCACTTTTCTTCTCTCTCTCTCTCTCTCTCTCTCTCTCTCTCTCTCTCTCTCTCTCTCTCTCTCCCAGCCCCCCCCCCTCTTTTGGGCATTGTGGTTTGTAAATACAAACACTGAAAGATTTTTCAGTATATACCTTTACCTACTTTTTTACATTCAGTTCTTGTCCAGTGTGATCATTTCCAGCTAATATTTAGACACTTCTTTACACCTATCCAAATCTTTATTTGTATGGTCAGATTCTTTGTTTCTTTCCTCTGGAGAGTCAGATAGCAACCCTGTTTCTTCCAATACCAGCTTCCTTTAGATGCCTTTGGGACTATCGCAGTGGCATTGCAAAAAGAGACCACGAGAAAATTCCCTATAGTTGTTTAGTTTATGGTGATCCCAAGGCATACATATTTTTAATTTAAACTCCTAGGTAATAATAATGGATAAGCAAGTTTTCTTAATAAGTGAATTAAATAAGAGGAATTAGGCAAACTTTCTGATGCTCTCTAGGAAAAACTCTAAGGGCTAGAGGTTGATACTCGAGTTTCTACTCCACTTAAGCACAAGATGGCACTACAGAGCTTTGTCTAAATCTGTATTCCCGTCTTTCCTCTCTCTCTCTCTCTCTCTCTCTCTCTCTCTCTCTCTCTCTCTCTCTCTCCTATCTCATTCCTTCCTTCCCATCTTTATTTTTTTCTTTTCATCTTTCTTTCTTTCCTCCTTTCTTTCTCTCTTTCTCTCTCTTTCTTTTTTCTTTCTTCTCTTTCTTTCTTTTCCTTCCTTTCTCAACTTGCAGTGTTCCACAGAGACTGCATCATTATATGATCAAAATTTGATAGCTCAATTTGAAGAAAAGAAATAATACATTAGAACAAACTCAGAGCATGTTTCCTTGAGAAGAAGGGAAGGAGAGGAGATGGTAGCTATGGGGTCTGGAACATGCAACCCCCAGAACCTGCTTTGTCTCTCAGCTGAAACAGATACTCCCCAGAGGCTCCCAGCAGGTACTTGGCCAGGCTCCCCAAAGTCTACCTCTGCAGTACTCGCTCCATAGCGTGTGGTAAGTTCCTGCAGGGCATGCCTGCAAACACTGCCCATTGTAGAGATAGGATGATGAGCCAGCACAGCGGTCACAGTCTTCTGCGGAGTGGCCACTGCACTCTAGACAGTCTCTGTGGCAAGGGACACACTGACGTCCTTCTTTGTAGTAGCCAGAAGGACAGGATTTATGGCACACGTGCTCCAGCAGGAAGGTGTCAGGCATGCACTCTGCAGGGAGTGGAAACAGCAAGTTACCTGGGGGGCTGGAGAAAGGGACGCTTTCTCTCTCCTGGGCTGGCCTGTCCCACCCACAGAGCACAGCTACTCAGTGTCAACAAGCCCTGCTTTGGGCAAACACTACAGATAGTGGCCGGGTTTGCTTTGCATTCAGAAGTGAGCTGCCTCTCCCAGGTGTAAAAGCATGCGGTACTTTGACATCTGAGAGTCACAGATGCTGGTGACTATTTGGAAATCTGGAAAGCAGGGAACATTTTATTTATTTATTTATTTTTAAATTTTTATTAGTGAGACATCATGAGGTACAGTTGTAGACTTACAAATTTTTGTGCTTGGGTTTCTTTTCTTTTCTTTTTTTTTTTTTTTGCTTTGCTGGTCACACCCGGTGATGCACAGGGGTTCCTCTTGGCTCTGCGCTCAGAAATTACCCCTGGTGGTGCTCAGGGGACCATATGAGATGCTGGGAATTGAACCCGGGTCTGCCGCGTGCAAGGCAAACACCCTACCCGCTGTGCTATCACTCCAGCCCCTGAGTTTCAATTATACAATGATCAAATACCCATTCCTCCACCAGAGCCCATTTCCCACCACCATGGGTCCCAGTATCCCTCCCATCCCCCATCCTCCCCATCCCACCCTGCCTCTGTGGCAGGGCATACCCTTTTGTTCTCTCTTATTGGGTGTTGTGGTTTGCAAAAGAGGCAATGGGTGACAATCATGTTTGGTCTATAGTCTACTTTCAGCATGCATCTCCCATCCTGGGAGGATCCTCCCAACACCTTTATTTGGTGCTCCCTTCTCTATCTGAGCTCCCTTTTCAAGCAGGGAGCATTTTAAAAGTTGTTCTGAGCTCCTCATGCTCTATTGACCAATTTTCCTTGCATTTGCTGGAGGTGGGAGTCAAACCCAGGGAGTCATGTGTTCTGCCGCTGAATTAACCTCTGGTTCAATCTTGCTTTACTCAGTGTAATAAGTAGTTTAGGATACTTGGATTTGTTAATTTTTTTTATTCACCCATAGAGTTAAAAAAACTAACTACACAAGGTTCATTAGAATAAAGAATATAGTTTGGGTATATTTCATTTGCATTTTCTCCTTCCCTCCCTCCCTTTCTCCTTTTCTTCCCTCCCTCCCTTTATCCCTCCCCCCTCTCTCCCTTTCTCTCCCTCTCCTTCCTTCCTTCCTTCCTTCCTTCCTTTCTTTCTTTCTTTCTTTCTTTCTTTCTTTCTTTCTTTCTCTCTTTCTCATTTTTGGACCACACCTGGTGGTGCTCAGGGCTTACTCCTGGCTCTGCACTCAAGAATCAGTCCTGGCAGTGCTAAGGAACCATAAATGGTGCCAAGGATGGATGGAACCAGGGTCTGTCACATGTAAAGCAATCTCCTTCTCTGCCATACTATCGCTCCAGCCCTGTGTTCATTTTCTTATATGAGGAGAAATCTTGGGGGGAAAAAAACACTGAAATCACAAAAAAGATAACTTTGAGGAAGGAACAGCATATTTTTAAACAGAAAACACTGTCCTCCCGTTGTTCATCGATTTGCTCGAGCGGGCCCAGTAACCTCTCCATTTTGAGACTTGTTGTTACTGTGTTTGGCATATTAAATACGTCACTGGTAGCTTGCCAGGCTTTGCCATGCAGGCGAGATACTCTTGGTAGCTTGCTGGGTTCTCCACGCACAAGGCAAACGCCCTACCGTTGTGCTATAGCTCCAACCCAGCGTATATATATGAGTGCCTTAATCCAGAGAGGAGAGTAGACAGCTTTTCTTGAGACCTAATTGTAGAGAAGAGCTTCCTGGTTAGAGTGTTATTCTCAGTTTTACATTGGGATTTCCTGAACTCCCTTTTCCTATCTTACATAGCAGTTGAATCTCTCTAGCTACCACTGCATTTCATTGTTCACTATCAGCCTCTTCTATAGAATTTTGCACTCAGAGAAGAGGGAATTTGGGTTCTTGCTAACATTTATTCTACCTAGAATAACACTTTCATGCACGGAGAGGGCCCCTGTGTGCTATAACTTGCAGACTGGGCCATGGAAACACCCCACTCATCTTCCTTGGTGATGTGTGAAGAGAATGATCTATCTCAGGAAAGGAGAGCAGACTGCCCTGTGCCTTGATTTCTGCATAGATGCCTCTTTCAGAGATTCAGTCATTGCAACACTCTACATTCTCCCTTGCATGTTCCCAGTACCTTTGCATATTTTCTCATGGATGCAATCCTCACACATCTCAGGGCAAGGTTTGCACACACCCTCCATGGCCACCTGCTTCTGGGGGCAGGCCTTCTGACATACTCCTTGGTCCAGGACGAGGTCCTCTGCACATGACAGACAGTTGGTGGCATTTCCTTCACATGTTTTGCAAGAAGAACTACACTTTTCACATGTGCCATCTTCTGCATAGAAGCCGCTGTGGAAAGGAAAAAGAGGCACTGGAACCACCTTCCTGTGTGGGAAGTGATTGAACCTGGTGACTGAGGCTTTGGACTGAGACAGAGACAGTGCTATTGTCAACCAAATCAAAGGCACTGGATTTCCTGAGGAAAAACGTCAGGACTGGGAGATAGTACAGGATGAGAAGCCTGCCTTTAATGTGTGAGATCTTAGGTTAAAGCCTCATCACTGCAAACAATTAAAATAAAATACCAATAACGATACAATAAAACAGAAAGAATGGGATAGTGAAGGATATGTCTACCTAACATTCAAATAAATCTCCCCTCCAAGCTGTCTAAAATGTATTTCCCAATACATGCCACCTGGGTATGTGACAGTAAGGTTAATTGATGGCCTGTGGGATTCAAAAGAAATTGCTATCATAATCTTTTTTTTTTTTTTTTGATGCTAGGAGGATTCACACACCTGATGCTCAGGGCTTATTCTTGGCTCTGTGCTCAGGAATCACACCTAGTAGACTGGAGCGACCATATGGAATGCCAGGGGTCAAACTCGGGTTTGCCGTGTGCAAGGCAAGTACTCTACTCACTGCACCATAGCTCTAGCTCCCAATCTTAAATATGCAGAAAAAAATGATGAATACTGAGATTTACGGTACTCTCCAAAAACAGCTCTCTTATTCGAATAATCTGTCTTAGTGAATCTGTTGAGTGAACATCTTCTGCAGCTGTTTCTGTTATAAGAACCCTATGAGGACCCCAAGCTTGATATGCAGCTCAGGTCTGTCTTTACCTCAACAATAAAAGCCCTTAGCATCTAACACAGTAGAATTCCACTCATCTGAAAGAAAGTTAGAATCTTGCATTTTGTGATACAACTTGAAAATAGTGCATGCCATGTAAAGTGAAGTGAGTCTGGAAAAAAGAGAAAAATCTCAGACGATTTCCTTCAGACGCGGGGTATTCCAGCCAATAGAGGCAGGGGTGGAGGACAGTGGGAGTAGTAGGGAATCCCCTGATATATTGCCAACAGAGCTGAGAGTGTTAAGTAAGGGTGAAGAGAACTGTGACTGATGAGTGACCTAAGGAGAAGAATGGAGAGATGCTGACTTGATGAGTATGTGCAGAAACACTGTATACCTAAAAGTACCAATAATAATAATACCATATATGATGATACCTCAAAATTTTTTAATTAAAAAAATTAAAAGGACAACCAGATTAATCCTACAACGGAGGGCAAAGGGTCATTCTTGGGAAGATTTTTAATACTGGTTTGGTTGCTTTCCTTACAGTTGGCCTGGTCAGGTTTTCAGTTTCTCATACTTTTGGAAGTTTGTATTCCAAAGAATTCATTCATTTCTTTTCGGTTGTCCAACTCAAGGACAAAAAGTTGTCCATAGTAACATCTTGCAATTTTTTGAATTTCTGAAGTATCTGCTATAATTTAGATACTTATTTCCATTTAGTTTGAGTTATTTGAGTTTTGTATTTTTTATTTCCCCTTATGAATCTAGCTAAGAGTTTGCCATCTTATTTATTCTTCGTGTGTGTGTGTGTGTGTGTGTGTGTGTGTGTGTGTGCTTTTTGGGTCACACCTGGCAATGCACAGGGGTTACTCCTGGCTCTGTACTCAGGAATTACTCCTGCTGGTGTTTGGAGAACCATATGGGATGCTGGGAATTGAGCCCGGTTTGACGGCGTGCAAGGCAAACGCCCTCCCTGCTGTACTATTGTTCCAGCATTCTTATTTATTTTTTTGAAAAATCATCACCTAGTTACATTTACTTTTAGAATTATTTTCTTGATTTCTATATTATTGATTTCTGCTCTAATTTTGATCATCTCTTTTTAACTCACCTCTTGGGATTCATTTGATTTTGCTTTTCTAGTTTCTCAAGCTATGAGGTTAAGCTGTTTATTTGAATTCTTTAATTTCCTGTTTCATTGTGAGCTTTCCCTTTTAATACTTCTTGTGCTGTGTTCCATAGGTTCTGGTAATCTGTGCCATCATTATTATTCATTATAAAGTTTATTTTCATTTATCTTTGATTTTCTCTTCAACTCAATGGTTGTTTAACAGAATTTTATTCAATCTCCAAATGTTAGATCTTTCACTGACTTTACCTTTTTTTATAATTAATTTCTACTTTCACGACCATGCAGCTTAAGAAGATATTGGGTATGAGTTTTATTTTTGTGGTCTTATATGTAAATATATATTTATTTTTCAAATTGTGGTCCAGCATGTGGTCCAAGAGAATGTATTGTGTGCACTGGAGAAGAATGTGTATTCAGCCAAAGGTGTGTGTGTGTGTGTGTGTGTGTGTGTGTGTGTATAAGAGAGAGAGAGAGACAGAGGGAGGGAGTAAGGGATGGAGGGATAGAGGGAGGGAGGGAGGAAGGGAGGGAGGGGGAGAGGGAGGGAGAGAGATTAGATCTGTATTGCATACTATACAAAAAAATTATCTCAAAGTGGACTAAAGATCTCGAGATGATACCAGAATCCATAAATTATATTGACAAAAAAGGCAAAACTTTCCAGGATATGGACCTTAGGGGCTTTTTCTTTTCTTTCTTTAAATCTTTTTTTTTAATTGAATCACCATGAGATATACTTACAAAGTTGTTTATACTTGAGTTTCAGTCATACAATGCTCCAATAACCATCCCTTCACCGATGCACATTTCCCGCCACCAATGTCCCCAGCTTCCCTTTTGCCTGTCCCCCCCCCAATCCCACCCCTGTAGGCTGCCTCTATGGCAGACAATTTTCGTCTCTTGTTATCTTTAATTTTTCTTTTAGTCACTATAGTTTGCAATATCGTCACTGGAAGGGCATTACTCAGTGACATTTTTGACAACTAGAATCCTCCAGCATAGAAAACAAACCCCAAAACAAACAGAGGGCACTATGTCAAGTTAAAAAGTCTTAGCATACAAGGCACTGGTTGAACTTTGCAAGAAGAAAACATCCAACCCCATCAAAATATGGGGCGATGAAATGAACAGAAACTTTCTCAAGGAAGAAATATGAATGGCAAAAAGGCACATGAAAAAATGCTCTTCATCACTAATCATCAGGGAGATGCAGATCAAAACAACTATGAGATACCACCTCACACTACAGAGACTGGCACATACCCAAATGTCCAAAGGCAATCAGTGTTGGCGTGGATGTGGGGAAAAAGGGTCCTTCCTACACTGCTAGTGGGAATGCCAACTGGTTCAGCCCTTTTGGAAAACAGTATGGGCGCTTCTCAAAAATTTAGAAATTGAGCTCCCATTTGACCCAGCAATACCACTCCTGGGAATATATCCTGGAGAAGCAAAAAAGTATAGTCAAAATGACATCTGCACTCATATGTTCATTGCAGTACTGTTTACAATAGCCAGAATCTGGAAAAACCCGAGTGCCCAAGAAGAGATTACTGGGAGAAACTTTGGTACATCTACACAATGGAATACTATGCAGCTGTTAGAAAAGATGAAGTCATGACCTTTGCATATAAGAGGATAAACATGGAAAATATCATGCTAAGTGAAATAAATAAAAAAGAGAGAGACAGAAATAGAAAGATTGCACTCATCTGTGGAATATAAAGTAACAGAATGGGAGACTAGCACCCAAGCATAACAGAGATAAGTACCAGAAGGTTTGCTCCATGGCTTGAAAGCTGACCTCACATGCTGGAGGAAAAGGCAGCTCAGGTAGAGAAGGAAACACCAGGTAAAATGTTATTGGAGGATCTGCTTGAGATGGAAGATGAGCACTGAAAGTAGTCTATAGATCAAACATGATGGCCACTCAGTACTTCTATTGCAAACCACAATATCCAAAAGGAGAGAGATAACAAAAGGGAATGCCCTGCCACAGAGGTGGGGTGGGGTGGGGAGGATGGGGCGGGGATGGGAGGGATACTGGGATCATCAGTGGTGGAGAATGGGCACTGGCGGAGCGATGGGTACTTGAGCATTGTATGACTGAAACACAAGCATGAAAGTTTGTAAGTCTGTAACTGCACCTCACAGTGATTCACCAATAAAAATTTTTAAAAAATAAGTAAATAAAATGAACAGCAATTTTTACTGGAGCAAACATTAAAAAAAAAGTCTTGGCATAGAGGAGGGAGAGGGACAAACACTGGAAGCAAAAAAAAAAAAAGCATCAACCGTATTGATGGACAAGAAACCTTTGACTTTTAAGCACAAAACTAAAATTACCAAATAGTTGAATGCGTGTGGAAAGAGGTGGACAAAAAGTGACATAAGGACAGAGTGCAGGGTCGTCAGCACATTGGTGGTGGTAATTTCATGCGAAACCATAAACGTTGTCTCTACTGTCGTGGTGTTATCTAAAATACAATTAAGAAGGGGAAAAATCCAGTTGCATAAGAAGGTGACACTGGTAACTCGTGAATCATGTGAAAATCACTGCAACAAGGAATTGGGTTAAAATCTTTATCATCCTGTGTGTTAGCTGTGTGATACTGAGCAGAAAATGACTTTCCTCGCCTGCAAAACAAGAGAAAATAGGATCTGGATATGAGAATTCTTGTGATTATAAAGGGATTTGAAGCCTTCAGAGTCAGGTGAATGAGACCAGTTGTAGTTACTGGAGTGTGGAAAGGTAGGACTACAGCTGAATCTTACGAAGACAATGTTTATGAGAAATAGCCTTGTTCCTGACGCCCCATTCGCTCTCAATGGAACGACCATCTCCGAATGCAACAGCTATGTGTACCTAGGTCGAGAGGTCAACATGACAAATGACCTGGCACCCGAGCTGCGCAGGAGGAAGAGAGCGGCTTGGAACGCCTTCAAGAACGTCAAAGAAATAGCTAAGAGGACGAAGAACCTCCAGCTCTGGGCACATCTCTTTGATTGCACTGTTCTTCCTGCATTAACATATGCCTCAGAGACCTGGGCCCTACGCAAACAAGATGAGAACGCTATTCAGGTCTCCCAAAGAAGAATAGAAAGAGCCATGCTTGGAATATCACGTTTCACTCAAATGAGAGAACGAATCCGGAGTTCTGACATCTGTCGACGATCAAGGATCAGGGACGCTGTCTCATTTGCCAAGGTGTCGAAAATCAGATGGGCTGGTCACGTAATGAGATTTAAAGATGACCGTTGGACTAGAGCTGTTACTGATTGGATTCCACGGGATGTCAAAAGACTGCGTGGCCGCCCACCTACCAGATGGTCAGACTTCTTCGTCAAGATCATGAATGATCGGTTTGAGGCCCTTCATGTTCCCGGAGCGAACAGATGCCATTGGGCTACGCTAGCACGTGACAGGGACAAATGGAGACGTTACTGGCGCCCGCTCAAGCAAATCGACGACTAACGGGAAGTTAAGTGATAAGTGATAAAGGGATTTGTACACTGGGATTTGTACAGTGCCTTGGCATCTTGAACACTCAACAATTAGCTGCTGGAATCTCTTAGCCCTTTGTGTTAAGACTCGAGAAATGTGTCACTGTCACTGTCCTCCCATTGTTCATCGAGTTGTTCGAGCGGGCCCAGTAACGTCTCCATCGTGAGACTCATTGTTACTGTGTTTGGCATATTGACTACATCACGGGTAGCTTTATCATCCTGTGTGTTAGCTGTGTGATACTGAGCAGAAAATGACTTTCCTCACCTGCCAAACAAGAGAAAATAGGATCTGGATATGAGAATTCTTCTGCCGTGTGGGCGAGATGCTCTCGGTAGCTTGCCAGGCTCTCCGAGAGAGGTGGAGGAATTGAACTTGGGTCGGCCACGTTGGTCGCTTGCAAGGCAAACACCCTACCCACTGTGCTCCAGCCCTGTAAATCTTCCTTATTAGTAATCCTGTTGTAGTTTCAAACTTAATTTAGCTTCCAATATCAATTTTTACATCCAGTAGGAGCTAAGGTAAAGGTAAAGGTAAAGGCCCTCCTGTTGTTAGTCGATTTGCTCAAGTGGGCCCAGTAACGTCTCCATTGGAGACTTTGTTGTTACTGTGTTTGGCATATCGAATAGGTCACGGGGAGCTTGCCAGGCTCTGCTGTGCGGGCGAGATACTCTAGCTGGCTTGCCGGGCTCTCCGAGAGGGGTGGAGGAATCGAACTCAGGTCGGCCATGTTGGCTGCGTGCAAGGCAAACGCCCTACTGCTGTGCTATCGCTCTATCTTTATATGCTTGGCTATTTCTACACTAGAATTGAAGTGTCCTGAAGGTCAGTTCCAGGCCTACAGCATGCATCTCAGGGACCAGAGAGAAAATGCAGGCACTTGCCTTACATACACCCTAACCCGGATTTGATATGAAGTCCATGTATGGTCCCCTGAGCACCACCAGGAGTGATGCCTGAGCACAGAACTAGGAGTAAGCCTCGAATACCCTCCAGTGTGGCCCTAAAACAAACAAAAACCACAAGGCATTTTTTTTTTTTGCTTTTTGGGTCACACCTGGAAATGCAAAGGAGCACAGGAGTTACTCCTAGCTCATGCACTCAGGAATTACTCCTGGTGGTGCTCAGGGGACCATATGGGATGCTGGGAATTGAACTGGGTCAACCGCATACAAGGCCCTGCCTGCTTTGCTGTTGCTCCAGCCCCCTGGCATGGTTTTTTGTATTCTCTTCCATTCTTCCTGGTTGTCAGAATTCTGATAACATCTATGTATTCAAGGATAAGCCTTATTTATTTTACACCATTCCTTGGTATCATTCAGTTTACTAGAGATTGGTTTAGGAAGGAGTAAGAGGTTCATTCTACCTGATGAGATGGGAAGGGATAAACAAGAAGGAAACTAACCTTTTAAAATTATTTATTTATTGGGTCCAGAGTAAAGAAATGACAAACCAGAGGCCAATCTACCTACTTTCAACACTCAGAAGGAGCCAATATGTTCTGAGAGCCTACTGCAACCTCACTTTTGTCGGTGATGGGGGAAAAAAGCTGACAACAACTTGATCATAAACACAAGTGGAAACATCTTTTCATGAAAGTAGGAACATAAAGAGATAATAGCACAAAGGGAGGATGTGCATTTGGGCTCATGGAAGTGTTGGCTGCTGCGGCCAGCAATGAGGTCAACTAGTGAGCAGGGACACTGATAAAGGTGTTCCACCAGGAGGAGAGCTTTTTTTTTTTTTTGCTTTTTGGGTCACACCTGGCGATGCACAGGGGTTACTCGTGGTTCTGCACTCAGGAACCACCCCTGGCAGTGCCAGGGGACCATACAGGATGCTGGGAATTGAACCCGGGTCGGCCGCATGCAAGGCAAACGCCCTACCCGCTGTGCTATTGCTCCAGTCCCGAGGAGAGCTTTTTGATGGGTGGAAAGGAATTACCACCAAAATGCTGCAGGGAAATGAGCATATCAGGACATGAGGAGAGAACAGAAACTTACCCGGGACACTTGGAGTAACACCTGCCTTCATGGAGGACGAGCATGTGATCGGTCGGTGTCTGGCACTTTTTGCAGAGGTTGGCTTCAGAGCAAGCGGCACATCCCTCCGTACAGTTCTCACAATTGCCACTCTTCACAGAGGGCCATGTGCCCTGGGGACAAGAGGAGACACACGCCTGTGCCAAGAGATATGCACCTGGAAACCCAGAGAAGGCTGATTAGAAGGTTGCTGCGTGGTATGGATCAGGACGTGTCCCCAAGCAGACCCTGGCCATGGTCTTTTACTTGCCACAAAGGTGCAAGAATTCACTTCCTTCAGGTTTACCAAACTCTGCATTCATGATGCAAAATTATTCGAGATGACTGATCTCCAGAAGGGAGACAGAGAACAGGAGGTTTTTGTCCTGTTCACTTTTCCTTGCACTCTGTGAGAAGTGCAGGTCATTGGGGCTTTCTTCTGCCTATGGGATCAGTCTCCCTGTCTGACAGGTAGTTGAAGGGAATTTCTTGTGTTTCCCCAAAGCCTGCCTATAGCACCAACAGAATAACAACACTGCCACCTAATTTCACCTTATACAAAGTGTTCATCTCCATACTTTAATACAACCGCTCCCAAACCATTATTTAAGAAATTAATTTTAAAGCTTCCCCCAGCTCCAAAATTTCAACAAAATTTCTTTAATTTGTATGTCACTTGTGACTCAGAAGGAGTAGAGAATTGTGGCACACTGGTCATTTCAAATGTGACTTTTGCATTTCCATATCACTCAACATTGCATATTACAACATTAATGACCTTAATGAAGGTATGATTTTTTTTAATTATTATTTTTGGTTTGTATTTTGGGCTGGAGCGATAGCACAGCGGTAGGGTGGTATCGCTGTGGTATCGCTGGAGTGATAGCACAGCGGTAGGGTGTATTTTGGGCTGTATTTTGGGCTGGAGCGATAGCACAGCAGTAGGGTGTTCGCCTTACAAGCAGCCAACATGGCCGACCCGAGTTCAATTCCTCCACCCCTCTCGGAGAGCCCGGCAAGCTACCGAGAGCATTCGATATGCCAAACACAGTAACAACAAAGTCTCCAATGGAGACGTTACTGGGCCCGCTCGAGCAAATCGACGATCAACGGGAGGGCCTTTACCTTTACCTTTACCTTATTTTTGGTTTAGGGGCCAAATCCGTCACTCCTGAAGGGTTTGGGGGTGCATATCCTGTGCCAGGACCCTGGGTTGACCATATTCAAAGCAAGTGTCCCACCTGCTGTACTATGGTTCTAGCCCCTAATAGTCTTTTTTTAAAAATGCTATTGATTCACCGTCAGATATAGTTACAAGCTTTCATGTCTGAGTTACAACCACACAATGATCAATACCCATCCCTTCACCAGTCACATTCCCCATCACCAACATCCCCAGTATACCCCCAGCTTTCCCACCCTTCCCCCACCTCCATGGCAGACAATATTCCCCATGCTCTCTCTCTACTTTGGGGCATTATGGTTTGCAATACAGATACTGAGAGGTTGTCATGTTTGGTCCTTCATCTACTTTCGGCACACATCTCCCATCCCAACTGATTCCTCCAACCATCATTTTCTTAATGATCCCTTCTCTATCCCAGCTGTCCTCTCCTCGCCCACTCATGAGGCAGGCTTCCAACTATGGAGCAATCTTCCTGACTTTTCTATTTATTGTCCTTGGGTGTCTGTCTTGTGTTATGTTATTTTATACTCCACAAATGAAAGTGCAGTTCTTCTATATCTGTCCCTTTCTTTCTGACTCATTTCCCATAGCATGATACTCTCCATGTCTATCCACATATAAACAAATTTCATGATTTCGTCTCTCCTAACAGATGCATAGTATTCCATTGTGTAGATGTACCAAAGTTTGTTTAACCAGTTGTCTGATCTCGGGCACTTGGGTTGTTTCCAGATTTTTAGCCCCTAATATTCTTAATTTTAATGCTAATGTACCATGTTAATAATGCCCCTAATTTAGGGAGATTGCTATTTTTTACTTTTTAAAGTGATGAATCAGTTAATTTGTTGATGTGTTGCATGTTTTCTCTTACTGTTTACCTTCCCTGAATTCAGCATCAGAAAAGAAGGAAATAATAGGGAGGCAACTTAGCCCACCCAGGAGTTCTTCCTTGAGGTTTTTAGTTTCAGTGACAATTCTCTCAAAGAATAACATCACCTTTCACAATTACACACACCCAAGATGTCTAGCAAATTCACTGGTCAGACTAACCAATAGTGACATTTTGTTTTTGGATAAGAAACATTGTTGAGAGCCAGATTTTCTTAGTGGTTTTGCTTGTTTTGGTCAAGCAGTGGCTCTCTGAGGTTTTCCAGAGTAGTTTCTGTATTAGGAACATGAATGATAACAGGGTTTGTAAGTGACTGTGACTCTCAGGAGCACTCACCCTTCGGGCATGATGTACACGAGGTTGCAGATCCATTGCAGGTCTTACAGGATGGGTCGCAAGGCTGCAGTTCTCTCAACTCGTCTGCACAGGGAAAGAAACACAAAATCGGCCTCCTGCTTTATGGACCCTGTGCTAAAGGCTTCAGAGTCTTGCTGTTGAAAAAGATCTGGGGATCACAGTAGTCTATTGCATTCTGCCCAGAAACAGCACCTCTCCCAATAGTTTTCTGAATGCAAGTGATTCATTGTGTGGGCATTGGCAGGAGACGCCACAGGGCTGGGGAGAATCAGGGCAGAGCAAGGTCAAGAAGCAATGCAGATATGTGGTAGTGGGACTCTACCCTTGGCTCCATCTCCTGGGAGCTCCGGGTGGCAACACAGGTGCGAATGCAGATTCCTCTAATTTGTTTGTTGGGAGGCCACATGCAGCAATGCTCAGGGCTTTACTCCTGGCTCTATGTTCAGGGATCCCTCCTGGTGGGCTCTGAGAACCTAATTGGGTGCTGGATATCGAAATTTGGTCAGCGGCTTATCAGGCAAATGCTCTACCCATTATACTATCACTTCAGCCCCAGGCTTTTCCTATTTTGCATTTGATAAAATGCTGCCATCTGCCTGTAACCTAAAATTCATCAACTTCTCTTTTCATCAGCCATTACTTACCAAGACTTTGTGAACTCACAGGGACGTTCTAAACTCCTATGCAGATAATTAACTCACAAATGCTACTTCTTTCATGTATGAAAAATGTGTGGGAGTGGATGTGTGCTTGTCATATGCATGTGTGGATGAGTATTTGAGTCAAATACTTTTTCATATCCCAAACCTCAGATCACCATTTCTCTTCAAGATGAAAACTGAGAATTCCTTTGCTTGGGCCTTTTGTATCAAAACATACATTTTCATTGTATTTCTTTTTTTTCGTTTGTTCTTTAGAAACCAGATTTCATTATTAAGTCAACATTTGGGTTTCGGTGTTTTTCAGAACAGCCACAGAATGCAACTCATATTTATCTCATGTTAAGTCATTTTTATTAAAATAGGATTTTTGTTCCAAATCAGCAATAGACACCAAAGTAATTGATCCTTAAATAAAATAGAACCACTGGCAAGTTTTCTACTTAGGTGAAGAAGCCCTGGACACTGCTTCCATAGTCCTACCCCCATGAGCAGGGAGTGAATTGTTTACTCCAGAGTCAGTCAGTTCATGGATGTTCCACACACAGACCAAGAGCCTGAACGATATTGCACAGTCAGTGCTCACTGAGAAATTGCACGTGCTTTATTTTGGCAATACTGGGAATCCAACCCAGAGTCTCATAGATCTTAGGCTTGTGCTATACCACTGAGCCACATCGCTGGTCCTCGGACTCTGACCAAAGCCCAGGGATTGCTCAGGAATTAGCACAACTCACATAAGGGAAGACTGGAAAAAGAAACTCACAATGATCCCAACTTTATGTCAATTGTTTTGGTGACATGGTCTTTCCTTCCATCATTTCTTTCTTTAGTTCTTCCCTCCCATATTCCCTTGTTTCCTTCCATCAGTTTCCTCCCCTGCCTCCTTTCCCCTTCCTGTATGGCTTTCGAGTTCTTTTCTTCTCTGCCCGAGAGTCAGCTTGGTAAGGTCGACTCTGCCTTTAGATCCCAGCACGATGGCTTCTGGGAGGGGTTACCATGGATACAGTGGTTAAGCTCCCCAGTCCTTGTTGCCATGCCTCCAAAATGAGAGGAAATGATTCTGTGGGGCTGTGGTGAGGAACTGGATGAAATTATTATTGGAAATGGTACCCCCAACTTCCCTTCTCTCCTTTATGTATTGCACCCTCTTTCTCTGATTTCCTTCTAATTTTATTTTTCCCTTTCCTCAGTTCCACGCTTGAAATAGCTCTGGGAGACAATGCTTGGTTTTCAAGATGACACTTGTGGTTGATTAAGTGCTGAACCTTATTACACAGCAAATGAGACTCAAAGGTGAGTGGACAGATGGGTAGGAGGAAAGAAGAGAGACGTAGGCATGTCCTCGATGTTGGAAATGTGGAGTTGACCATATATGCTGCCAAACTTGATTTTTGGTTTTGGGCCACTCCTGGTGGTGTTTAGGGGTTACTCCTGGCTCTGTTCTCAGGAATCACTCCTGATGGGTTTGGGGAACCATACGGAGTGTCACGGATTGAGCCTGGGTTGGCTGCATGGAAGGAAAACACCCTATTCACTGTACTTTCTCTGTGGTCCCAACCTTCTATGCTGAGCAGCCCTTTCCCTCTGGTTCTGAGAGGAATATTTGTCTCAGTCAGAGGAGGTAGTAACTGCCCAAACTCTCTCTGGGGTATATGGTCTGCCAGGAGCTCAAGTTGCTTGTTGCAGCATTTCTGCAAAAGTGGACACATGACTCTCCACATGTCAGCATCTTTCCAAGAAAGCCTCTTAATCCTGCAACTCACTGCAACCAAAGAGAATGCAGAGAAAAGAGTGACAGGACCTCTGCTAATCATCACAGAAATGCAAATAAGTTCCCTCAGTATGGCAGGTTATTATCAAAGGGACAAGAACTAACAAGTGGGTAAGGAAGTATAGGACTAGTGATGGGAATGAGAATTAATATTCCTTCCTTGGAGAACAGCATGGAGGAAATTGTAAAATGGAACAACCTGGAGCTCTGTCTGAAGGAAATGAAATGACTGTGTCAACAGAGACATCTGTATCTTACGTTCACTTCAGCATTTAGTTACAATCACAAAAAGTGTGCAAACACCCAAAGCGTCAATCAGGAGTGAATGGCTAAAGAACTATGAAAAACAATATTCCATTGTGTATATATGTAATAGGAACACGTCACGGTGCTCCCATTGTTCATTGATTTGCTCAAGCGGGACCAGTAATGTCTCCATTGTGACAATTGTTACTGTGTTTGGCATATTGAATATGTCATGGATAGCTTTCCAGTCTTTGCCATGCAGGCGAGATACTCTCGGTAGTTTGCCAGGCTCTCCGAGAGGGGTGGAGGAATCGAACTCGGGTCGGCCATGTTGGCCACTTGCAAGGCAAACGCCCTACTCACTGTGCTATCGCTCCAGCCAGTTATAGGAACACAGCATGTAATATTTCATTCAATAAATATACTTTATCTACACACATAGGTATATGTTCAGAAATGGAGTACAGAGGGTAAAATACTTGCCTTGCACGCGGCTAACACAAGACCAATCCCTAGCATTTCATATATTAGCTCCAAAGAGTAATTTCTGACCAAAAAGCCAGGAGTAAGCCCTGAGCACTGCCTGGTGTGACCCCAAGCCCAAAATAAATTATAAATAAAAGTTTTTTTAAAAAAGAAATGGAATACTAATCACAGTCATAGTGGAATACAAAAAAAACCCCTTTGATTTGCAACATTATGGAAGGAGTTTTGAAGGCATCAGGCATCATTCTGAATTATATAAGCAGAAAGGAAAAGACAAATATGCTCTCACCTATATTTGGAATTTTAATAAGAGCCAAATAATAAAAACAGAGATTGTGGTTAGTAGGGGTTCAGGAGTGGGAGAGAAAGATGGAGGTGGTCAGAGTACAAGCTTTCAGGAATAAGAGATAAATTTTCAGGTAATACAGAGAGATACTGACTCCAATTAATAACACTGTGTTTCATATGTCAGACTTGCTGAGAACGGAGATCTTAAAATTTCTCACCTTCCCCAGACCCCTATGTTGAGTGTGTGATGTGATAGATGTATTAACTCATCTTATTCTTTGAAACATATACATATATTAAATCATCATATTGTAAATTTTAAACATACACAATAATAGATGTCAATAAAATATCATTAAAGTTAGAAAAAAAAGGTATCTGATTAATGGTCAAGAATAGTAATTCAAAGAAAAGTGACACTTTAATAGTCATAAAATATTTAAGTACCTTAAACATTTCTAACATTTTATTTCCAGGCCATTGACGATTTTCTTTTAGATTTTTTTTTTCATTTTAATACTGAAATGCAGATTTTTAGTACAGTATATTTAATTTAATTTTGAAAGCATATTTTAGAATTTATAGATATAAACATTGTAATGAATTCATTATACTTGTGTAAAAACATATCTCATATATGTTCACACATATACCTCTAACAACATTTAACCTTATTTTACTTTCTGGCAAGTTATCTGGCTTAAAGTTGTACTTAAGCTCATCACAGAACCGCCCTTCTCTGCAGGTACATAGGTCGGAGCGTCCCTGCCCCATGTGCCCTGGGTGCCCCTTCCCCGCATGGCACCCCCACAGACGCAGAGGACAGGACGGGGGACTAGCAGCTAGGACTGCCTGGGGGTGTGGCCTCCACTGTAGGGGACATGGCCTCCTCAAAATTGGGCGGGACCTTCTGTGTGGCCAGCAGCCGCTCATGCAGCCACAGTTATTTTGCCCATTCCCAGCAGTCTCAACTCATATGCCAACCTATATCACCTAATTCTGAGCAAAACGTTTCGGCCTCCTCAAACACACAATGCAACAACAATCCACTGGCCTACAACCAACTCCATTAAAAGACCAAGGTATGCAAAAAAAGCTGTACAAGTCCTATATAAAAGAGCACATCCTCCAATGCTTCACTAGATGCCTATCATAAGTCACAGAATAATGTCTGAGAGGAAGGATGTGTTCTAGAAGGGGAGAAGGGTGACTGCCATTGACCGAGCTCATTCAGACCCCTTTCCCGCTATAAGTGGGAACAGTACTAGTGAACTTGAAGGTTCTACCTCTATACAACCACCACAACATGAAGAAACAGAGCAAATCTCCACTATGAGGAAAAGACAAAGAAAAGAGTCCTGAATCCTCAACAGGGGTTACCCACAAATATCTCTCCAATAAAGAATTTTGAGATGACAAACTGAGGATGTTCAAGGAACTCAAAGAATCAATGGAGCAGACATGCAGAAAATTAAAGGAAGAAATGAAAGAAACAGTGGCTCGGATAGTCGAGAAAATACAGGAAGAAATGAGAGCAGAAATTAAAAAGCTACAAAAAGAAGTGTCACAAATAAAGGATTCAGTAGAAGAAATTAAAAACTCGGTGAGTGCCCTCAACAATAGAATGACTACAGCTGAAGACAGGACCAGTGAGCTTGAAGATGAGCAGCAGAAATTGCAGAGGCAACAGCTAACAATGGGAAAATATCTTAAAATAGCTCTAAGGCCAATCAAAGACCTGGGGATGAAGCCAAGAGGAACAACATTAGAATCATCGGAGTACCAGAAGGCCAGGGAGGCAAACCCAATGAAAAAGCCATAGCCAAAGAAATAATTGCTGAAAAGTTTCCAGAGTTAAAGAATGCAGACATTCAGATCCAAGGAGTCAGAAGGGTGCCAGCTAAAAGAGACCCTAATAAAAACACTCCAAGTCATATCATATTCAGAATGATGGATGCCAAGGATAAAGACCTTTGCAAGCAGCAAGGTCAAAGAAGGAAATAACATACAAAGGAGCACCCCTTAGATTTACAGCAGACCTATCAGAGAAAACCCTCCAAGCCTGAAGACAATAGTGGGATATAGTGAAAAAAAAAACTCAATGAAATGAACGCCTCACCAAGAATACTTTATCCAGTTAAACTCTCACTCAAACTCGATGGAATGATACACCATTTTATAGAAAAACAACAGCTCAGGAACTTCATAGACTCAAAACCAAACCTAAAAGAAGGATTAAAGGGGCTCCTGTAACACAAGAAGGAAAACACCTATCAGCACCTACAGAAAGATGGCACAAACCCCCATGACAATAATCTCTCAGAGTCAATGATCTAAATGCAAGAGACACAGAGTGACAAAATGGATCCAGAAGCTGAAACCAATATTCTGCTGCCTACAAGAAACACATCTAAACAGTCAGAGTAAACACAGACTCAAAGTTAAAGAATGAAAAACAATCCTGTAAGCAAAAAGTTCCCTCAAAAAATCTGGGGTGGCCATACTAGTATCCGACAACATAAATTTCAGGTTGAAAAAGATGAGAAGGGACAGCGAAGACAATTTTCTATTTATTAAGGGATACGTACAATAGGAAGAAATCACACTCTTAAATGTATACACACCTAATGAGGGACCAGCTAAATACTTAAAACAACTGCTAACAGATTTTAAGGAGGACATTGCTAGCGATACAATAGTAGTCAGAGACTTCACCATCGCCTTATCAACTGTGGATAGATCAACAAGAACAAAACTCAACAAGAAAATATTGGCTTTGACACTCAATTCTTCTTTTGCAAACCACAACACCCAAAAGGAGAGAGAGAACAAAAGGGAATACCCTGCCACAGAGGTAGGGTGGGATGAGGGGGTGGGGGATGGGTGAGATTCTCGGACCCGTGGTGGTGGAAAATGGGCACTGGTGGAGGGATGGGTGTTTGATCATTGTACAATTGAAACTCAAGCACAAAAATTTGTAAATCTACAACTGTACCTCATGGTGTTTCACTAACAAAAATTTTTTAAAAAGTAAATGATGGAGAATGGGCACTGGTGGAGGGATGGGTACTGGATTATTGTATAACGGAAACCCAAGCACAAAAATTTGTAAGTCTACAAATGTACCTCATGGTTTCACTAATAAAAATTTTTAAAAAATAAATTAAATAAATAAATAAATAAAAGTTGGCCAAAAAGGAAAAAAATAGAAAATATTGGCTTTGAAGGAAGAAATAGAAGAGATAGGGCAAATAGACCTACACAGGGCTTTTCACCCCAAAGAAGAAAGAATACACATTCTTTTCCCGGGCACATGGAACATTTTCCAAAATAGACCATGTGCTAGGCCACAAAACATACTTCAATAGAATCAGGAAGACAGAAATAGTATCAACAATCTTTTCAGACCATGATGTGCTGAAGATAGAAGCTAATCACAAACAGACACGGAAAACCAAATCAAACACCTGGAAATTAAACAACTCAATGTTGAACAATGAGTCGGTCAGGAAGGTAGTCAAGGACGAAATCAAAAGATACTTACTTGGAGGGGCTGGGGCAATAGCACAGTGGGTAGGGCATTTGCCTTGCACGTGGCTGACCCAGGTTTGATTCCCAGCATCCCATATGGTCCCCCGAGCACCGCCAGGAGTAATTCCTGAGTGCATGAACCAGGACAGGAGTAATTCCTGAGTGCATGAACCAGGAGTAACTCCTGTGCATCGCTGGGTGTGACCCAAAAAGCAAAGCAAAAAAAAAAAAAAAGATGCCTGGAAACAAATGAGAATGAAGACATGAGCTACTAAAACCTATGGGACACAACTAAAGCCGTGTTAAGAGGAAAATTTATAGCTTTACAAGCATTCCTAAGGAAGGAAGAAAGGGCCTACACAGATAACCTGACCTCACAGCTCAAGATCTTAGAAAAAAACACCAACAAATGGAACCCAAATTTAATCGAAAGAAAGAAATAATAAAACTTAGAGCAGAAATTGACGACATGGAAACCCAACAAACAATCCAAAAGGTCAATGAAACCGAGAGCTGGTTCTTTGAGAAAATAAACAAGATTGATAAACAACTAGCAAGACTCACAAAGAAAGAGAGAGAACCCTGATAAACCGAATCAGTAAGGAAAAAGGAGACATCACAACAGAAGAAAATGAACTTCAGAAGATCATCAGAGACTACTTTGAGCATCTGTATGCCACAAAACAAGAGAACCTAGAAGAAATGGATAAATTCCTGGATTCCTATAATCTCCCAAAATTGAACCAAGAAGACTTGGGATACCTGAATAGACCCATTCATATCAAGGAAATTGAAACAGTAATAAAACGTCTTCCCAAAAACAAAAACCCAGGCCCAAATGGATTCACCAGCGAATTCTTCCAAACATTTAAAGAAGACCTGTTGCCAGTTCTTCTCAAGCTTTTCCAGGAAATTGAAAAAACAGGAACTCTCAGAAACAGTTTCTATGAGGCACATATCTCCCTAATACCAAAAGGAGACAGAGATACCACCAACAAAGAAAACTATAGGCCAATATCCCTGGTGAACACGGATGCAAAGATCCTCAACAAAATATTAGTATATAGAATCCAACAACTCGTCAAAAAAATCATACACCACGACCAAATGGGATTCATCTCAGGGATCAAGGATAGTTTAACTTTCATAAATCAATCAACATAATCCATCATATCAACAAAAGTAAAGATAAAAACCATATGATCATATCAATAGACTCAGAGAAAGCATTTGACAAGATCAAGTTGTACTTAATACAAAATTTCCCAATGCTCAAAAGTGACCAGTAGAGGGAGCACAATACACACAATTAAGTTAAAAGGCAATTAATAGTGGTAAAATCATCCCAGACAGAGCTCTTTATCATAAGATTAGTGACAGTCACAACAACTAAATTTGATGTTGATCATACTAGCTCATATTTTCTACTTCAGAAATTTTGGACAGTGTAGGATCTCAAAAGAAAATCACATTGATCAAGAAATTGTATTTACTGAATTGTCATTCTGCCACATAAAAATAAGAATTCTTATCTTAATTTTTAATAAATAAATTTAATTTAATGATTACATGGTCACCAGTGTATAAACATTCTACAAAATCTCCCCTCAACCGTTTTTCGTTCTTTTTATACAAATTGTATTTATTCACATGGTTTGCCACATTAAAATCCGACTCATGCTTTGTAGAATATTCTTTATCAATACAAAAAAAAATCTCCTCATTCTTCTTGGTAGCTGCATAGTAGCCAGCTACACAAATATATTCTACTTTATTTCGTGCCAAGGATTAGTAGCCATTTTGGGTTTTTCCCCATCTTGCTATTTCAAATTATGCTGCAGAGACCGAGACGTTCAAAGGTGTTTGATTTTTTTTTTTCAGTCTATCTCTAAAGATCTGCTAGGAAAGAAACTTGACTTGCTAGCCTCTTGCAGGAATATTCACGTAGCATATCAGGAATGTTCTAGAAGTAGTGTTCGCTGAACTTTCCCAGTCTTTTCTCTCTGAGTATCTGCTTACACTTTGTGTTATGGGACTCTCCCCTCTCCGCTGCTCTCTCTGGAAATCTGCATCCCCATTTATTCTTGGCTGGCTGGTTCTTGGGTAGTTTCCACATTCAGAGATTCTCCTGGGTTTCATGTTTTTCAGTGGTGCTGGGTGTAGAACCCAGGGCCTCTCCCCTGCCTGATAATTGTTCTCCTGCTCAGCTACTTCCCAGTCCCTTGATTGGTTGTGATTGATTTCTCCCTATTTCCCTGTTACCTCTTTTCATTCGAAACCTCCACCTTCGTCGCTCCTTCGGCAAGTTCTTCACCAAAGGTTTGCTTGTCGGGGGTACTGCTTCTTTTCATTAAAGAAAAAGAAAAGGGCTTCATTTGCTTTATGCCAATAAGAAAAGAAAGAAGAGAAGAGAGCATCCACCTAAAATAGTCCCACCCAGGAATGCCTGCTGATTATATTTCAGAATGATGCATTTTCCAACTTTATATTCGATGAGTGTGAGTATAATAAACTGCATACATGTGTGGCCAAAGACCTCCAGGACCAGCCACCACCATGCTGAGACCACTCTCCGCACACATGAAGGTACTGGCAGAGGGACAAAGTCACGCGGGTTTCGGGGCCGAGATCTCCAAGCCTACCCGGATTTGGGTCAAGCATCCTCCACCCAGATCCTCCAAATTCCAGTAGGCGGGGGTCACACCCACCAACTGGCCCCCTGGCGCCGTGTAATCCCATCAGCGACCAAGACTCAGAGACTATAAAAACCAGATCTCGGAACCACGCGGACGCGAATGCGGACATTTTATTATGACATCTTATTATCTCATTCCTACTTTGGACAAACTGGCAGGCTACCGAATGTAGCCTGCCCACACGGCAGAGTCTGGCAAACTCCCTGTGGCGTACCCAATATGCCAAATACCAGTAACAATGATGGGTCTCATTCTCCTAAAGAGCCTTGAATATAATCTCAGGGCTAGGATGAAGGAGACGTTACTGGGGCCTGCTCAAGGCAATCGACGACTAACAGGATGATTTGTGATTGTGATACATGTGTGGATATATGTGTAATGTACATCTTCTGTATATGTAGTATCATCTACCTACATCTTGTATTTAACATTATAAACTTTATAGGCATTTTTCTCTTGCTATTAAAATCTACTGTGGGTCAGATGCTAGGGGAAAAGTGTGCTCAGATAGAGAAGGGAGCAAATAAAGGGTGTTGGGAGGATTCTCCCAGGATGGGAGAAGCATGTTGAAAGTAGACTATGGACTGAACATGATTGCCACTCAATGCCTCTTTTGCAAACCGCAACACCCAAAAGGAGAGAGAGAACAAAAGGGAATGCCCTGCCACAGAGGTAGGGTGGGATGGGAGGATGGGGGGTGGGTGGGATACTAGGACCCATGGTGGTGGGAAATGGGCACTGGTGGAGGGATGGGTATTTGATGGGTATTTGAAACCCAAGCACAAAAATTTGTAAGTCTACAACTGTACCTCATGGTGTTTCACTAATAAAAATTTTTTAAAAATCTACTTGTGGGGCCAGAGCAGTTATACAGCAGGTAAGGCACTTGCCTTTCACATGACTGACTGACCTGGGTTTTATCCCCGGCACTGCATACGGTCCCAAACCCATCAGGACTGATCCTTGAGTGTAGTGCCAGGAGAATGGCCATGTGTGGCCCCAAAACAAACAAGTACAAAAATCTATTATGAACATGATTTTTAATGGGTTGGGAACTTAGTTGTGTGAGTGGAAACTACTATTTCTTCATTTTTATTGTATGTTTAAATTGTGCCTCTCTCCTTTCTCTCTCTCTTTCTTACTATCTCTCTCTGTCTCTCTCTGTCTCTCTCTGTCTCTCTCTCTCTGTCTCTCTCTCTCTCTCTGATGTAAGGCTGCTTTCACCATCTTTGTGAGTATGCATTCTTAGGTAAATCAGGGCTCTGATTGGCTAGAGACTTTCCAGCTGGCCATTATTTGGTGCCTTATTTGCAGGACTAGTTTTCCATGACTGTGTTACTTTCTAGGCCCTCAGCATTGCTTTGTTCCATGAGCTAGGGAAGGTTGTTTTGAAAATGAACAACTGTCTCAAACACTACGGCATCAAAGCTGGATTGAGATAAAGGGCTGGGGAATAGACTGACTTTGATGGTGTCATATTATGTGTCAGGCACGTAATATTGTTCTCTGTTTAATTGTCAAAATGACCTTGCATGAGGTAGTTTCATGTTCTTGTTTTGTAGGTGAGGAAATTGGAGCTCAGAATGTGTAATTTGTTCAAGGTCATATAACTAGTCAAGAACAGGATTTAAATTGAAGTTCACCGAAGTCCAAAGTCTGCATCTGCTGAGAGATGTTTTTGTTATTCATTTGATAGAGGCCAAAGCAATGATGCTGGTAAAGTGGTTCTTTGGAAAACAAATCAAACCAGAAAACTTGATTTTTTTTGTATGCTTATTTCCATGTTGTAAACTCCCAGCACCACTGATATTCCGTGATTGATGCTTCTCCAGTTCACTTACAAAATCTCTGAATGGTTAATTACCACCAAAAGTGGTTATGCGTGGCTCCTTCATGTCATTGGACCGAAGTTTTTTTCTGACTGACCCAAAGACATCTGTTTCCTGCACTTTGAGTACTGATTGGTCATTTAAAATAAGCAACCGGTTGTTAGGTATATATCTACAAAGACCTTTTGAAAATCCAGTTTCACGACATCTTCTAAATTTAGTAACTCTTGAGCAATGCATTTCACTGTCACTGAGATGATCTTTTTTATGCACGCATGTTGTAGTGTTTGCAATGGACTCTGGGAATCCGGTATTTCTCAGAATTAGCATCAAAAGATAGCCTAGTGATAAATTGTTTGGATGTGGTCAGAGATACAGAGTGAATTCACTATGTCTGCAATTTGGAGATTAGACTGTGCCCAGCATGTGTAATCAGAGCTAGAGAGGAACCTGGTCTTAATCAATGATGGAAATAGGTGGGCAGGAGAGCACTCAAGAATGATTCAAAGACTTTTCCAATAGTTCCAGGGACAAAGTTCACTCAAGGCTCCCAGGGTTTAACAAGGCTAGAGTCAACTGTTCCAATCTTAATAAGGGTTTTAGAAAATCAGCTGAAGCTGTAACCTTCTGCAGAGCCTGGAGCACATCACCTGGACTTGGCCTTCTGTGCTGTGCACCCAGGCCTGAGGGCTTGAACGATGCTGTTCCGTGCAAGTACTGGTACTGCCACACAGAGACCATGCACACAGTCACTGTCCAGTGTTGCTGACTACCGTGTGAGATCTGGGGCGGACCTGAACTTCTATGGTAAAGTCCAACCCAGGACCTCTCCCCCATGGAACAATTGCCCAGCTCCCTGACGTGACTTTTTGGTGAAGGGGAGAACATGGCTCTGGGGCTTCCTCAGGCTTCACTCAAGGCTTTGCCAGACCTGAAGTGGAGGGCAGGGCTTGAGGAGGAGAGAGTCTCACTGGGCAGTCAATAAGGTAAGTGCCATACCACTACTGTCCTCACTTGGGTGAGCCCTTAATCAAAGAGGAGTACAGGGAGCCCCAACTGGATTTGAATTTCAGGGCTCTTTCCCCACTGGGAGAGGGCATATGGGGACCAGTGGGCCCGTTTTACTGCATCTCACTCAGGGCATGAGCAGAATGAAGCCAGCCACCTTCTCATCTTGGCTTCTTGAGTCTGAATCTGTGTTGCCGAAACTTACTTGATGACAACAAGAGCAAACCTGACTGGGGCCCCGTCGGCAGCCACATCCTTTCACCAAATACTCTGTCTGGGCTTCCTCCAGGTCGACCTAAGATCCTTTCATTCTACTCTCAGCCCTATAGAAAGGGGAGAGGCCTAGATCATACTTGACCCCACTGTTTAGAAAAGAGAAGGACAGAGAATAAAACACACCAAGGGGAGTGGATGGAAGAAGAGTAATATACGTAATGAGTGAAGAGGTGCCAGGGCTTTGGTTATATTGGTGATATGGGTGAGGGGTATAGCCATATATCCAAAACACAGACTCAACAACATCGAAAACATAAGCTCTAAGCTGCAACCACTGGAACTTTGCAATGTGCCTGTCAAGTTGACAAGTGGGAAGGGGACTGGGAGTAGGGAAGGAATCTGGGATCACTAGTGGAGGAAAGTTGACACCAGTGGTAAGATTAGTGTTGAAATATCATATGCCTAAAACTCAACTATCAATAACTCTGTAAGTCAGTCATTTAAATCACTGTATCACTGTCATCCTGTTGTTCATTGATTTCCTTGAGCAAAAACCAGTAACATCTCTATTCATCCTAGCCCTGAGATTTTAACAAGTGCCACATTGGAAGCTCTTTCAGGGTCAGGGGAATGAGACCCATCATTGTTACTGGGTTTTGGCATATTGAACACGCCACGGGGAGCTTGCCAGACTCTGCCATGCAGGCAGGATACTCTCGGTAGCCTACCAGCTTCTCCAAGAGTAAGAACTAGACAATAAGAGGTCATGCGGCCTCGGCAGCTGAAGACCCCTGGAACCAGCCACAGCCATGCTTAAGACCACTCTTCACATGCTCGGATGAGCCTCACACATGACATAGGAACTGGCAGAGGAACCCAGGTGTGCTGGACCCGGGGCTGAGCTCTCCAAGCTGCTCGGATGGGGATTGGGCCTCCTCCACCCAGATCCCTCATCTTCCAGTAGCTAGACATTACACCCACCAACTGTCTCCAGCTCCACCGTGTAACCCATCAATGGCCAAGAGCCAGAGACTATAAAACCAGTCATTTAAATAAAGAAATTAAGGTAAAGGTAAAGGCCCTCCCGTTGATCATCTATTTGCTCGAGCGGGCCCAGTAACGTCTCCATTGGAGACTTTGTTGTTACTATGTTTGGCATATCGAATACGTCACGGGGAGCTTGCCAGGCTCTGCCGTGCAGGTGAGATACTCTCGGTAGCTTGCTGGGCTCTCCGAGAGGGGCGGAGGAATCGAACTCGGGTGGGCCATGTTGGCTGCGTGCAAGGCAAATGCCCTACCGCTGTGCTATCGCTCCTTGACTGATCAGACCACTAGTATCAACTTCCCTCCACTAATATCCCCCCTCTCTGCCCCAGTCTACCCTCAGCAGGCACCCTGGACAGGCAGTTTTCAGCTTAATTGTAGTTTGGATGTCTTGTTCTCAGAGCTGTTGATTCTGTGATGCAGCTACCTAGACACCCACCACCTCGACACTGCCAGTGTACCCGAAGCCCTTGCCCCATGCAGCTAAGAAGAGTGTCACCCCTCTATCACAGAGCACAGCACGGAGTCCAGTGCAGTGTTGGCTGACAGCGTGCCCAGGCAGACGGAGTCTATGTCTGACCTCCCATCCATGTCAGGCACACTCAGCTGGGCCAGGCAGCTGAGCCAGGGCTGGCCTTCTCTGGGGAGGAGACTGTTTCCTCTCTCTGGGATGAGCTTGCATTCTTCTTCCTTAGACCAGGGACTATAAACTGCAACCGGCTCACCAACTTGATTGCTTTTGTCCAGGCAAAAGAAATATGCTGATCTCCTTCCCTAATCTTGTGGGAGTGCTAAATCCCCCAAAGAACAAATCCCTTCCTCTCTTTGGAAACATGATCACATGATAGTAGACCCAAAAGGGGTGTTGTGCTTCCACCAACGGGGCCTTTCAAAGTCTGGTCCCGTGTGCAGAGCACAGGACCTGGTTGGAAGGGATGAGGAGTCATTTGGGGAATCAACGCTGCTCAGAGTCTTGGCTCTGTGGACATTTTCCTCATCTGGACGCCAGATAAAATACAGATGTTTCAAGCTAGAAACAGACTATTTTCCTCTTGGCTTGCTCTGGCTTTTAAATGCCTGCATGCCAGACAAACTCCATCTCAGCATTTTGGTACGGCTGAAATGCACGGAAGATCGCCCAGTCTACACTGAATGATTTCCTTCCCGGCTCTGTCTCGGAAACTGGCCTTGTGCTTTCGCTGGCTCGGAGGGGTTCTTGCTCCCAGACGCAGGTGCGCTGATGGCAGCTGTGGAAGTTCTTTCTCGGAAAGCCACGACGACCTTTCTTTCGGCTGTCCCAGATCCATCAGAGAGCAGGTCTGCTTCCAGTTGCTGTTCCCTCTGCTCTGAAATGACCTTTAGAGCACATCCTTGCCTCCAGATGAGGTGGAGAGCCTCTTAGCAGAGAATGTGAGTCCGATTTCTCCAGCAGTTTAGGGAAGCCGATGTTTCCACCACTTCTTCTGGAGGGAGGGCATTGGAACTGTGATGACTTTGCCCAGAGCCTAGGGCCAAGGTTCCCGACAAGAAGAAGTGTTTGTGCAGAAGACGGAGGACTGGAATCACACTGACCTGTCCTCAGAGGCTTCATATTCAAGCACTTCTTTCCTCTCCCTTCCTCCCACTCAAGTTCCTGAGGCTGTGACTGCAGCTGGCAAGGCCACTGTTAGCAGGAAAACCCAACCCAGGCCAAGCTGGCACAGTCCAGCAGGAAGATGGCTCTTCCCGCTGGCTCTCTGCACCCCCCGCCCCCCCCCACCCCCCAAAAAAGCCCTTCCCCTGGAAATGGCTTCCTTGGGCTTCATGTCTGAACCTGAGGCCGCTTCATTTCTGAAACATTTGGAAAAATGGGAGCTGAGTCACTTTCCCCCAGGTCTCTCTCTGCATTTCCAGGCTGGTTCACCCCAAGGGACAGGCAGTGTGCTCAGTCCCTAAGACCGCTTATCCTAGGAGATTCATTTCTAGACAAAGGCCTCCCCAGCCTCACCAGGGGTGCCAGGAACATCCGAGTGGCCCTGCACGGGCCCGAACTGGATGCTCGGGCCAAGCTGTTGTTTCTCAGCTGGTCCTTGCTTGCTTGGCTCTTCTGAAGGGAAGGGGAGAGAGGCGGGAGGGCCACCGAGCTGGACAGCACCGCTCTCCTCGGGAGGCACCTACCGTTCCAGAATCTGCCTTGGCCCTGGGTCTTCGCCGGGTGCACACAGGTCCCAAGACGCAGCTGGAGTCCTGCCAGGCAGCTGCTGCAGGCGCTGGGGCCCCGGCCTGTGCAGGTGTCACAGGTGTTGTGGCACGGCTCACATTCACCCGTCTCGGAGTCTCCGAAGAAGCCGGGGCCACACTCACTCACACAGCGATCACCTAAGGCACACACAGAGAGAAGCATGAAGCCTGCTGATCTAGGCCAGTGAGCTCTAGCACATCCAAGGGAGCCTCAGGTGGACATTGTTGTTTGAGTTGGTTTCTTTGAAAAAGATGACTTTAGTTAATTTCAACCAAAAAACTGATGGTTTGTTGTTGTTGTTTTTGGATGTGCATACAGTGCTACTCACTGCTTGTTCCTGACTCTACACTCAGGGGTCACTCTTGGCGGGGCTTCAGGGGACTCTGTGGGGTGTTGGAGATAGAAGCTAGGTGGGCTGCATGCAAGGCAAGTGTCCTACCCACTGTCATATCACTCCAACCCCAAGAAATTATGTCTTAGTCAATGTCATGCTGGGGCCAGAAGACAGTTCAAAGGGCCAGACTGCAGGCATCCTACTTAAGTTCTCAACACTAGAAGGTACCCTGAACACTGAGCTCAGGAGTATATGCTTATAGCACCAGGTGTGTCTCCAAAGCAAAGCAAACCAACTGAGGGTCAGGCCTCACATGCGACTGACCGAGTTCAGTTTCTGGCACCACATGATCCCCTGAACACTGCTGTTTGCATTCCAAGAGACTCCAACACCACTGGGGTGCCCTGGATAACCCACTGCAGCACTCAGCCTGATCACCACCAGTGTCTGACCCTTACATTGAACTACCACCTCATGGGTTGTTGGGAGTCCCTGTCCCCTACCTCCTGAGCACTGCTTGGGAGGTAAAACAAGCAAAAACAAACCCCAGGCCAAACAGAAACTACCACCAAACACCCCACACTTTAAATCCTCTTTCACCTGAGACTTTAAGGTGTGGGCTCAAAGGGCTCATCTTTGAGGTCTCATTAATGTACGGATGTGATGAAGTAGAGCTCAACCCCTGCCCCACTGTCTTCCCCACCATTTAAAAACACTGGTCTGCGAGCCATTCAGTTGCAAAACACATGTGATTTCTCTCTCTTTTTTTTCTTTTTGGGTCACACCTGGCGATGCACAAGGGTTATTCCTGGCTCTGTACTCTGGAGTTACTCCTGGTGGTGCTCAGGGGACCATATGGGATGCTGGGAATCGAACCCGGGTCGGCCGCATGCAAGGCAAATGCGCTGCCCATTGTGCTATCTCTCCAGTCCCCAGAAAACACATGTGATTCTTTCCTCACTATCCATTTTGATTACCACTTAGAAATGGAGCCAGCCTGAGACGAAAGGCCTTGTTGAACTTCTGCGGTACCTGGGAATGTCCAATGGTGGTGAAGTCATGGCTTAGGACAGCCCTGGTGATGGCGACTTCCACTCAAAGCATCTCTATTCAGCAGACCCCACCCCCACCACTCTCACTGCCTGGTTGGGGAAATTGGGAGGGGATGTGGGAGAGATATACTCTGCTGGTATACTCTGCTTGGTAGGTAGAGCGGCAGCTGTAGGCCCAACTAATGCTTCTTTGCAAAGCAATCAATCCCTGCTTGCATCAGACAGGTGGACTCTAAGAACAAGCCAGGGAGGGAGCACTCCTGCTTCCATCTGCCCTGGCCCTGTGTCACTCACCCAGGAGGAAGAAGCCATCTTCACACCAGTAACACACGCTACCCTCGCAACTGCTGCAGTTGGGATCACAGGCCTGACATTCGAGTCCTTTCTTGTAGGTCTTCTCAGGGCAGACCCGGTAACAGTGGCTCTCAAACCTACGGAGAAAGACAGATCTATTTCACAAAATATGCTGACACCTTTCTCGAAACCGTCATCACTTAATCTCATCAACTGCACTTTATCCGGATGGAAGTTCACCAACCAGTGCAGGCTCCACTGGTAATTCCAAGCCAACCTGGATGGTGGTTCCGTACAACGGCCAGAAGATGTGAAGCTGTTCAAGCCCTTGGATGCCAGGCCCCACCAGAGCTGCATCTCACAATGCCAGAAGCCCCATTTGGTGCCAGGAATGGAGTCTGGGTCAGCTATGTGCTAGGCGAATGTCTTAACCACTGTACTATCCCAACCCCTACATTTCATTTTTAACAGGGTTAAACTTTTGGACTTCAAGGGCAAGTTCTACCCTTGAATCTCTTTGTTTTGGATCCCTAAAGATCCTTTGTCAGGGAGAAGGCTAGGAAGAAGGAACGAGATACTGTGTTTATTGCTTTTATGTTAAGTCGTAGCTCAGAGAAACCTTCACTCAATCTTCTTGTAGTAGCTAATTTGGAAAAGTAGAATGAAACTATAAGGTTAAGTGACAATCATGCTGAGGCCTTTTCTTGTGCTTCGGTGGCCTGAGTTTCTCTTTCCCTCTCATCTTCCTCTCTCCTTCTAGACGTTTCCCACCCACTAATGTACACTGAAGCCTTTGGAATAGCTAAAGGCATTGTGACAACAGGAAGAGCTAATCCCCCAAAGTTGAGGCTATCCAAATCCGGACCCACTGTTAGCTTGTGGGGCTATTTGAGAGAACTTAGAGTCCCCCTGAGAGTAGGTTTTCTCTCTAGAGAATTAACAGCTGTCAAGCCGTGTTCCTGACAATCTCCATGGACAGGTGAAGATAAGAATGCTAGTTCCCAGTGCTGAGATGCTGGGGGGGTTATGAAGGCAGACCATTTTTTTTTAACAGGAGGAATCAAGGCTAGTGATGCTGAAGGGGAGGTACGGGGTACTAGGGTTTAAACCCAGCCTTGCGCATGTGAAGTGTGAGTGAAGCCCCCAATATACCTTCTTTTTCTTTTCATTTTTCTATTTTCTGCATTTTCCTTCCAGGATAGGCTAATGTGTGCTCTAGAGGTGAGACTAGACTAGGCAGGGGAGGTGATACTGAAATGGGTTGCCTTTGATTTTGTAGATTTCTACTCAAGAACTTGGGGGTCCTGTTTTTCTCCATTTCATGTAACCTTGTGGGTGGAATCTCTCAGGATCCTGGAGTAAAGGAAAGTTAATGTGGTCTCTTCTTTTTGACTTCTGTTAAGAAAATCTTCATGCAGACATTTGGAAATAGCTTGTGTGGGATCGAGTCTATTATTAAGATTTGTCCACAAACAGCAATCTTGGGAACCCGTGGCAAGATTCCTAGACATCAGTGTCAAGTTGGGTGATTTCCAGGACCAAAACAGAGGAGGCCTCCTTTTGAGGCAAGACAACAGCTGGGCTCTGATTGCTAAATCCAAGAATTGTTGGTGAATAGCCTGCTCGAAGGGACTGGCTTCATGTTCCAAGGCCTCTTGGCTTTCATTTCTGAGTTTAGGATCAAGCCAGTCATGCTAAAACTACAGAAAAGTGAACCCCTCTGCAAAGAAGGCCAGACTTACATGTAATACCCCATGGCGCAAGATGTGCATGTTCCTGGGTCATCTGGGGAAAAAAAATGACAATAATGAAAAACAATAATCACTAAGAGCTTACCATAAGGAAAAAGGTTATGGCTTGAGATAAACAACATTTGGGCATAAATTCATGAAATGACCTGCCCAGAAATGAGATCTGATCTGAACAGATTGTACCACTTTTCATCAGTAACAAGATGTACGCTGTGACTGATCATTATCCAAGCAGTGAAGGAAAAGTTCTCATAACGTCTTGGCCCTAACTTTTAAGGATCCTGGGACTAAGCTACCAGGTCCTCAATTTGCTGATCACCAGCCACATTGAGAAACTTCTAGCCTCTACTGAAGTAAGGGCCTGAAACTTGTACACACACACACACACACACACACACACACACACACACACACACACACACGTCTGCGAAGAGCTGTGGTCTTATGATCCTGAAACAGGGGTGGGGGTGGGATGTCTCCCATGAATTATCCCCAGGTCTGCTAACGTGAGCGAATCTGGGAGGCTACTTTGAAAGTTGGCAATTGATTTCTTTTCTCTAAGAGAGTACCTCCTTTGTGCTCTGCACTTCATAGCCCTCTTAAAATAACGGTCCTATTCTTATGAAGTGCAATGATGAAATCTGTCCCATTGGCTCAGGAGGACCATTCCCCCAGGGTTCTGGAACTGTCAGTGACGGAGAGTCTCAAGACTCAGTCAATTTCCCTCCCCAGAAACCCTTCTGGAAATGTACCAGCTCCGGAGCCAGTGTTCAGTAAATTTTTTGACTGCTCAGGTCTGTCAATCTTGTGAGTGATTGACAGCAAGTTTCTCTGTAGGATAACGTTGCTTTGTCCTTTCTCCCTTGCCACAAGGTGCTTAGGTTTATCGGGTCACACCCACAAAGTGCTCCCGAGTCACTCCTATTCTTTAGTTTATTTGTAACTACTTCTCTATGCTCTCTTCCCCAAACAGTTAATTAGTTTATTCCCCTAATCAGTTTCAGTTAATTTGTAAGGTCAGATCTTTCTAGGACACTGAACTTATATTGTAAGTTAATATTGCCTTTCTCCTCTCTCCTTACGTCTTTTAAATAGTTTACTTTAAATCAATGTCCTTTTGCATAGACAAGAAGACAATTAATATAATGCTTTTGTAACATGGGATTTAATTGGCTTCGAATATTATTCTTTCCGGGGCATCTGCTTTCTCAACTTAAGCCTCAGTTGCCCTTACTTCCTAGCGTCCCCAAAAGCAGGGTCCCCACGAGGGACTGGATGGAACCAGGACAAGCGCTAAGCTATGTGCTACCCTGGCACCGAGATGGGTCTGGCCATAGCACCACAATTCTTAACTATAAGTTAAGAGTTTGATTATGACAAATGTTGTCGTGATCCAAAAGTAATGACACTAGGAGCCTGCTAGGGATAGGAAAGACCAATCTGGCCTGAGTACTGTAGTCTGAGATCATGATGACCCCAGGAGAGCAATTCTATAAGCTTAAAGAATCTCTTACTGTATCCATACAAAGTGATTAATATTATGAATGCTTATATGTTTGTTGGACAAGGAGAGGAGAAACACACCCATGGGATTCCGCCCTTGGGTGGGTCATCCTGCTGAAAGAGAATCTGTCCTAGAAACAGCATCCCCTGAGGGAAAAAACTTTACCCCTATTGATTGTGACCAAATCTATGTGTAAGCCCAGCCCCTCATGGTTTGGGGATTTAAGACTATAAGAGGGGGGAGAAGATCAGATCGAGATCCAGAGCTAGAGCCAGGAAAGAGGGGTTCCAGATGGAGGGCCGGGATAGAAGGAGAGACAGGAGTGAAAGGGGATGAGAGTGGAATAAACGGCATCTGATCAATCAACCAACTTGGCCCTTGCTTCCTCCACCATCTGCCCCAGGACCCAGGCTGCCCCGACTTCGGGGGTGGCCCAGGCCCCCCAGAACCTGGCTGGCCAGGGGAAGAGCTGTCGGGGCCACTCCCTGGCTGCCCTCAGAGATTTTTACATTCATCCTCCTATTGGACCTGGACATCTGTCCCCTCATTCCAAGAGGAAACGAGAAACAATTGTTCACCTTTAAAATTGCTCCTCTTGGCACACGATCATTTTATGTTGCCTTAAATTTGACTTACTAATTTGTTGGTTGTGGGGTTTTGGAGGGGGCACACCAGGTGATACTCTGGACTTAAACTGTCTCTGTGCTCAGGGGTCACTCCTTGCAAATCGGGGTCAGTTGCATACAAAGCCAACACCTAAACCCATGTGTCCACTGGTTTGTTGCCTTGAATTTTAAAATAAATAAAAACCACATGCTTTGAATATGGTGCATTTCCTTTCTGCCCGTTTTAGTGCCTATTGTGCTCTTCACCAAGTCGGTCCTTGAGTGGTAGAGTCAGTCTGACCCAGATCCTTTAATCAAATGTCCACTTGGGTCCTTCTAGGTGGTGAAGCGATGGAGTTGTGTGTCAAACACACTGGGTCTAAAGTATTGCCCTGAGCATTCTAGTGGAATAGTCTCTGGATGACAATAGTGCCATTTAAACAGGCATCCCAACTTCTTTTGAAAACAGCCTTCCCTCCCCTCCTCTTCTTCCCCTTCTCTTCCCTTCCCTTCCCTTCCCTTCCCTTCCCTTCCCTTCCCTTCCCTTCCCTTCCCTTCCCTTCCCTTCCCTCCCCTCCCCTCCCCTCCCCTTCCCTCCCCTTCCTCTTTCTCTCTTCCTTCTCTTCCCCTCTCCTCCCCTCTCCTCCCCTTTCTTTCCTTCCCTCTTTTTTCCTCCATCCCTTCCTTTTCTTCTCTATATTTGGTGACCTACAATACCATTAATGATAGGATTTCATGCATATAACACTCCAGCACAACACCTTCTACCAGAATGTCAGGTTCCCTCCATCCCTGTCACACAGTCCCCCTCCAATCCGGGTTTTACTGTCACATAAATGCCTTTCAACTTTCCAAGCACTAATTTCTTTTTTTTTAATTATTTTTTTATTAGTGAAACACTGTGGGGTACAGTTACAGACTTATAAAGTTTCGTGCGAGCCAAATGTAGACTATAGAACTTTGCTTATAAATGGACAGACATGGAGAGTATCATGACAAGTGAAATGAGTCAGAAAGAGAGGGACAGACATAGAAGGACTGCACTCATTTGTGGAGTATAAAACAACATAACATGAGGCTGACACCTAAAGATAGTAGATACATGGGATAGATAGATTGCTCCATAGCTGGAAGCCTGCCTCAGGAGCAAAGGGGAGAAGGCAACTGGAATAGAGAAGGGATCACTAAGAAGATGATGACTTGAGGAACCAGTTGGGATAGGAGATGTGTGCTGAAAGTAGATAAAGGACCAAATATGATAACCTCTCAGTGTCTGTATTGCAAACCATAATGCCCCAAAGTAGAGAGAGATTATGGGGAATCATATCTGCCATGGAGGCAGAGGGAGGGTGGGGAAGGGGGGTATAACGGGGATTATTGGTGGTAGGGAATGTGCACTGGTGGAGGGATGGGTGTTTGATCATTGTGTCATTGTAACCGAAACATGGAAGCTTGTAACTATCTCACGGTGATTTAATAAAATTAATAATAATTATAATAATAAAAAGAACACAATGGCCACTCAATGCCTCTAGTGCGAACCACAACACCCAAAAGGAAAGAGAAAACAAAAGGGAATACCCACCTCAGAGGTTGGGGGAGTTTTGGGGGGTGAGGGGGGTCGGGCTGTGGGGGGGTGGGGGTTCGAGAGATACTGGAATCATTGTATGACTGAAACACAACCACTCACTAATTTCTGAGGAGAAAAGTGATCTGGATGGATAAGAGGGAATTAATAAACATCCCCAAAAGATAAAGATTCCAAAGCTGAGTCTGCATGAGTCAGCAAGTCAGGGGTATATCTGGCCATGACCTTCACTGACACACAGAATCTGAGTACTTTCAGACCACAGCATCAGAGGGGACCAGGGGCCACAGAAACAGGAAGACTACTTACTGCCAGGGACAGAAATGGGTCTCAAGGGCAGCAGAAGAATTGTACATTCTACTCACCCCTTCCTACTCCAGTGCTACTGGGTCTGAGCCCTACAGAGTCACCCACACAAACACAAGTAGAAAATACTGGCTTCCACTTTATCGAGGTAGCTTGGCAGTCCCTGATTGCATCCTGACAGGCTCTTCCTTGTGACTCTGCCAAGTTCATTGTTGTCAGGTGATGCAGGTATAATTTGTTATTGTCAGAGATCAGGGAGTCTTTGTCAGGTGAGGACTGTTTCTATCTGGGGAAGTACCTTGTTCACATGCTGGGGTTAAGTTTAATGGGAAGGACAGAAGGAGTCAGAAGAACCAAGGGGAGCTAGCCAAGACCTTTTGCAAGCAGCCATGCTTTGCTTGCAAGAGGGAATTCATCTCTAGAGCTAAGTAACAGGTTGTGTTATAGGGGCAGCGGAGCAGGACCGTGAAATGAACCAGAGACTGTGTTAACTGAGTGAAGCCAGGAATTAGAAATTGGAGGTGCCATGAGAAAGAAAAGAAGTTCACTGTAATTCTTAGAATTCTCGAGGCAGTGTTTTATGCTCCTACATCTGCGGATTAGGTATCTGAGTTTGGTTTAATGGGGTGCAAAGACCTTGGTGAACTCTAATGGTTCCACTGGATAAGTTGATTTCCTGCTACAAATCCATGTCTACATCTATTTTCTTTTCACTTCTGTTCCTAAATAAGTTGCTACTATTTAGTTTGCATCTGGGTAAGCTTAATGCCTGCTCCTGATGAACATATTTGACTCTGACAGTTTTGCTAATTGGGTAAGGGCTGGGGAAATTCTAATCCTATTCCCTAATGTTCTGACCATCTCTGCCATCTAGGAACTTAATGAGTTTGCTCTCTGCTCTTTTAAGTGGGTCACTGATGAAAATGTGAAACAGAACCACGCCTCAGAAATGTGCATACCATTGTAATCTTGAGCCCAGAGATTTTTTCCAGCCCAGTTACATGGTGAATTTGGTACCTTTTTAACAGTTT